ACGAAAGCTCATGCTCAAATAAATTGGTTAGTCTCTAAGGTGCCACAAGTACTCCTTTTCTTTTTGCGAATACAGACTAACACGGCTGTTCCTCTGAAACCCACCACTTAACTGGCTCTTTAACAGTTTCAATGTTATGCTAATAGGTCTGGTGGGCTGGAAGGCTTTTTCACTTCAGAGGAAGACTCACCAGGCTGCACCAGCCAGCTGTGGTGGGAGCCTGCGGGAAGGGTCAGAACAGGGATTGGAAGAAGTGGGAGCATGGACACTAAGACCCTGGGGTGCCCAAAATTTTTGGGTGCCCTATGCAGCCGCATATGCTGTGTATGCCTATGGACGGCCCTGTGTCAAACCCAATCCTGTGAGGTCCTGTATGCCTTCAGCTCCTGCTCTTAGCCAGAGGCACTCAACAACTTGTAAGATTGTGCCCTACTTCAAGGGACAATTTCTTTCAACATTTGTGCAAACAGTGCTGCAGCTCGTAGCATTCTGTTATTTATGCATGCATATGCAATGTTACCCAAAAATCATGAGTCAGGGCCACCCAAAAATCGTGAGACTGTGGTTCAAATTTTGCACTTAGGCATTTGGAAGGTTTTATTTTTCTTAAGAAAAGGAGGACTTGTGGCACCTTAGAGACTAACACATTTATCTGAGCATAAGCTTTCGTGAGCTACAGTTCACATCATCGAATGCATTCATGTAGCTCACGAAAGCTTATGCTCAAATAAATTTGTTAGTCTCTAAGGTGCCACAAGTACTCCTGTTCTTTTTGCGGATACAGACTAACACGGTTGCTACTCTGAAACCTTTATTTGCCTTGTGGCTTTTGAGCCTTTAAGGTTTGCATTTTAAACTTTTCTCTGTGACAAGGGCTAGAAGCTAGCTTTTAAAAAACTTGAAAGGTGAGATTCTCATGTAATCACATGATTCAGAGAGCTGGGTCTTAAAGAAAAGCGACAAAAATCATGAAAGTTGGCAACACTGGCTTACTAACCCAACTAGGTTATTAATGTCACCTAGTCCAGTTCTTCAATCCCCTCCACAAGTCATTCCCCAGCTCAGGGAAGGAACAGATGAGAGAGACCTGGCCTGCACACATTTTGGAAAAGTTAGGGATAGGATACAGGGGGGAGACTGGGGGAATGGGGTGGGGCTGCCTGACACACTTCGTAACTTCTCCCTTTATTTCCTTTTGTCTACTTTCATACACTTGGCCGATTTTGCAAAAAACAGTATTTCTCCTGCAAAGATGTGTGCGGTCTCTGCATGTTTTCACTGTGGAACCAACTTTGGCTGGAAATTACCCCCATGGGGCAGAATGCTCACTTCAAACCGGGCACCATTTCTTAAAATTGTTTGTGAATAGTTTGCCCACCTCTAGAAGGGTCTGAAGTCTGGGGAGAGAAGGGCAGGGACCATGGAGTGGGTGTTAGAATATAGAAAAGGAGTACTTGTGGCACCTTAGAGACAATTTATTTGAGCATAAGCTTTCGTGAGCTACAGCTCACTTCATCAAAAGCTTATGCTCAAATAAATTGGTTAGTCTCCAAGGTGCCACAAGTACTCCTTTTCTTTTTGCGAATACAGACTAACACGGCTGTTACTCTGAAACCTGTTAGAATATAGATATTCAGGCCTGCCTGTAAAGGCCTATACTTTAAGAACTTAGGTGTATTTTTATCACTTAGCTAGTTATAGAGGTATAAAACAAAGAATCAAAATCACAAGTCTGCCTGTGTATGGGCCTTCTCTCACTAGGATAGTCTGAGGCCTTGTTCTTAGGATAAAGCCTTTGGCTAAGCAGCAGGGGCAGCCATAAATTGGGAAGCATGTGGTCACATCCTCACTACCCAAACCAATCACATTGAAATAAGGTGGTATTGGGCTGTTGGGTACTATCAGGAAAGGATTGTCTTCCTATCACCACCAGATAAAGAAACAGATCTTAAGATGGTTACATCCTGTCTGGCAAGAAATCACTTGTCAACGGTTGTGGTTGTGAAACCCTCATTTCTGTATTTTTTATCTTTATGGCCCTCACTTTTCTGTTGTTAATCTGTCTGGTTCTCCAATTATTTCTGTCTGCTGTATAATTAATTTTGCTAGATGTTAATTAGGGTAGGAAGTTAATTAGGATATAATTGGTTAGAGAATTATGTTACAATATGTTAGGATTCGTTAGTTAAATTTCAGTAAAATGATTTGTTAAGGTATAGCTGAGAATATTACTATATAAACTGGGGTCAAACAGGAATGGGGGGAATTGGAATCATGTTTGCTAAGGGGGTGGGGGAATGGGACCAGGGAATAGGGAACAGGGACACAGGCAAGGCTCTGCGGCCTTAAAGCTGGGAAGAGGGTCACGAGGTAAACGCTCTGAAGCATCAGAGCTGGGAAGTGGGAGTCGGGGTAAACGCTCTGCAGTGTCAGAGCTGGGAAGGGGTATATGGGGTAAATGCTCTGCGACGTCAGAGCTGGGAAGGGGGATACGGGGCAAATGCTCTGCGGCATCAGAGCTGTGAAGGGGGACACAGGGTAAACGCTCTGCAGCATAGGCGCTGACTTCCCCTCTGCGGGGTGGGTGCTCGACCCCGCCCCAGCCCCTAGCCCTGCCCCACCTCTTCATGCCCCTGCACTGCCCTCGGCCCAACCCCATTCCACCCCTTCCCCAAAGTCCCCTTCCCACCCCGCCTTTTCCTACCCCAGTCCCACCCCCTTCCCGCCTCCACTCCACCCCCTTCCCCCAAGTCCCCGCCCCGCCCTGCCTCTTCTCCACCTCCTCCTCTGAGTGCACTGCATCCCCACTCCTCCCGGAAAGTCCTAAGTGCTGCCAAACAGCTGTTAGGCTGCCGGGGGCAGGAAGTGCTGGGAGGGAGAGGGAGGAGCAGGGATGCGGCATTCCTGTTTGACCCCAGTTTATATGTGCTCAGGAGGGGGAGAAGGAGGCAGTGTGGGGAAGCTTAGCTGCCAGTGGATGCTGAGCACCTGCTAATTTTTCCCCGTGGATGCTCCAGCCCCAGAGCACCCATGGAGTTGGAGCCTATGCTCTGCGGTGTCAGAGCTGGGAAGGGGGACATGGGGTTGTGATGATGCTGCCCGTGGGAGCCAGCTGAGGTCACTCAATTAGGGTGAACTGCAAACAAAATGGGGCAAACAAACCCCAAAAGCTGGTGGCTAGTCCAATACTTAGATTTACCCAGCCAGCACAAAACAGCTCCTGTATTACCTCCCTGGTTACTCAGGAGTCCAAACAACGCAGTTCCCTTAAAGTGCCCAGCCTCAGGCCTCCACCCAGACACACATGTCAGATAGGATGATGATTACTGAACATCTTGTCTCATCATATAAAAGAAAAGGTTCTTCCAATCCCAAAGGATCAGCCACACACCCAGGTCCAATTATAACTTAGATCTCACCCAAAATACACGCTTATAGCCAATTCTTATTAACTAAGCTAAAATGTATTTAAAAAGAAAAGAGAGAGAGTTTTGGTTAAAAAATCCATATACATACAGACTTGAGTTCAATTCTTGAGGTTCAGATACAGAGCAGAGATGAGCTTGTAGTTGCCAACAGTCCTTTTAGAAATAGTCCATAAGTTATAGTCCAATGTCCATATTCAAGATGACTCCAGTCAGTGACTGGGGATCTCAATCCTTATGGCTTAAGGTTTCCCCCTCTTGAAACCGAAAGCAGATCTGAGATGAAGAAGGATCGTGTCCCAAGGTTTTTATACATTTCCAGCTGCCTTTTGGCCTGAGAAAACAATAGGCTTAACTTTCCTTTTCCTAAACATCATGGCAGTTAGTACAGGGTAATTTATTCATTAAACAGTTCAGCTACAGGTTACCACCTTCAAAGAGACATATAGACACTAATACTATTTCACTCAAGTGTCTTCATAAATGTTGATATTCCTCTTTTGATCTTTGAATCAAAGCTAGAGCAATAGACAAGACTTGTTTGCTAACAACACAAGACCTGAACAAACATCTACCCTTCTATCTCTAACCATGCAGACTTGCATTTCAAAGCTCTGTTCATTTACACATCTTCCTAACCAGTCTTTAAAATTCACCCATGGGTCACCTCAGTCTGTGAGTTAATTAACTCTTTCTGGCCCTGTCACCTTTCAATGAGATATTATCTTACACTCATAACGTCACAGGGGTAAACGCTCTGCGGCGTTGGAGCTGGGAAGGGAACCCTGGGAAACAGACTATATTGACCTATAGAGATAAGCCCGACTGGTGTGAAGGGCCTGGAAATATGCTTGCTTGGAAACTTAACCCCAATAAACAGCGCGTTGTCTGCGCTTCCAACTGTTGGTCTTTGGCTGCCTGCCTGCTGTCTGCCTGACAAGAACCAGGGAAGCAGGAGGGCTGGGGGAAGGCCCTCTAAGAGCGGGCAGTGAGGGACTGGACTGGTTTGATGGAGGGGTGTGGGAGCAGGTTCAGAGAGATTGTTAATGGGGAAGACAAGAGGGGTGAAGGAGGGGGCAGCGGACGGGGGAAAGGAAAGCGGAGGCAGATCAGTGGGACAGCGGGGCAGGAGGTGGGTTGCCGGGCTATGAAGTGGGGGCGGGGGCAGATAGGCAGGGGCGGGCGCAGAGGGACAGGTCGGTGGAGGACAGCGGCTGGAGGTGGTGGGGACAGAGGGGCCCGAGGTAGACGCGGGTGGAGGAGCGAGGAAATGGGGCCATTGGGGATCAAAGAGCAGGAGGCGGGCAGAGAAGGAGGCCGGGGGTCGGGCAGGGGCGGAGGGAGCAGAGGCGGGGCGGGAATTGAGCAGGCGCCTCCGCTCCCCGCATTGGTGGGCTCGGGCCCGGGCCCGGCCCATCCCCTCCCACGGCAAAGTCCGGCTCCGCGGGGGGCTCTGGGTCCCCACTACGCCGAGCATGGCTAGGGCGCTCGGGCGGCTCGGTCCGCTCTGGGCGGGGGGCAGGAGGCGACACCCCGGGAGCGGTAAGGGGGGGGAGGGCGCTGGGAGCAATTAACCCTGGCCCGGAGCCGGGCTGCTGCTGCCGCCGCCGGAGCCAGCGGGGCGCTGGGGCTGGCTCTGCCCGTCACAAGCCCCGTCCGGGGCCGCCTCCCGCAGCCACAGCCCCGAGAGCGCGGAGCCGGGGGAGAGCCCGCGGCGTGAAGCCGGTTCAACAGCCCTGGGCCCCAGTCCGCTCTCCGGTGCTCGGGCTCCACATTTACACGGGGGCAGCCAAGCTGGGCTGGGTCTGCGGGCGAGGTTCCCGTCTGCGGACTCAGGAGCTATCCTGGTGTGAACCCAATCAGTGCGAGTCCGCAGTCAGTCCCGAGGGCTCTGGCTCTTTCCGGGGTGGCTAAGGAATCCGCTGGCCTGAAATGTGTTTTATTGTCTACATCCACGTGGACTTGTCATTGCTACCCCCAGCCCGGGGCGGCGGGGGGTATGTGGGGGAGAGGGGGCTTTTGTCATGACCGCAGACGAACTCAAGGTAGAAGTTTTGCGTTACAAGTTCCAGCCTCTTTATCATAAATGAAACTGTTACTTTTTCAATTCCTTTTCCTCCTAGGAGCCAACTAACAGTAGCAGCTCATTCCCCTAGATCAGGGGTTCTCAAACTGGGGGTCGCGAGGTTATTAGGGGGCTTGGTGAGCTGTCAGCCTCCACCCCAAGCCCGCTTTGCCTCCAGCATTTATAATGGTGTTAAATATATTAAAAAGTCTTTTTAAGGTATGGGGGGGGGGGGTTGCAGTCAGAGGCTTGCTGTGTGAAAGGGGTCACAGTACAAAGTCTGAGAACCCTGCCCTAGAAACGCTGCCTAGGACCAATTAACCCCACTGCTTGATGACCATGTAACATCCTCAGAGTTCAAAATAGAAAAAAGGCTTCTGTGGTGACATTTTTTTTAAGATTGGAAAATAGTCCTACAAAAGTACACTTTTTAAAAATGTGTACCGGTGATTGCCCGCGCTGGCTTCTGACTCAAGTGCAACATGTGCATATTTCTCAGAATGCAGGATTTTTTCCAGATACTTGGTGTTCGGATAATGTTTATTATGAAATAAAGTGCAAGTGTTATTAACCATCATTTTGGGCCAAAGAACAACCTTGCTAGTGATTCATAGGACTTTTCTATTGACTCCAAACACTGGTGATAACACTACACAGTTCTTCCATTAGGTCATTGGTTCCTGACAAGCAAATTCTACTTGGTATTAGTTTTGAACAGTTTGTAGTTATTAAATTTTTTTGATTGATGAAATGAAAAAACTCATACAGCTTAGGTGTCCCAAAAGACGTTCCTGGGATACAAGGACATCATATGAAAAATCATTGTATATGATCACTTTATAACAGTGGTCCTCAAACTTTTTCTGTTGCACACACCCCCTTATCAGCAATGGAATCTGTCTGCCCCCACCTCTTCCCCCAGGAGCCTCGATCAGGAGCTGGGCCAACGCTGGGGGCAGAGTGGGTGGGAGCTACTGCTGGGAGCCAGGGGCCTAGGCTGGTGCTGGAATGGAGCTGGGGGCAGAGCGGGGCTGGGTGATGCTCCCTCCCTGCCCCCTTTGGGGACTGGCCTGGGCCCTGCAGAGCCCCCATGAACGTTTTGCTGGGGGAGGCACTCCCCACAGTTTGGGGACCTCTGCTTTATAACTAGATTAACCCATTGGCTGACTCTGACACTTAAAATAAGGAAGATCTTTATGGTCAGTCAGTCAATCTTATTTATCCATATTGTCAGTCCTTCACTAGCGGATGCTATTTTGGGTCTTAAGGAAAGTAGCCACAAGTATAATTTTCTTATTTATTTCCAGAAAGTTAATTTCTATGAAAGTTAGATTCTTTGTTTTGATGTGTAAAAATGTAACTCATTAAAAAACAAAACTAAAACCCACCTCAATTAATAATGTTAGGAATGCAAGGAGAACATTTTTAAAAAGTAAAATTATCTGAAGTTAGTCTACTTATTTTTCCAGTTAATCAAATAAAAGATGTAATGGCTTAATGTTTTCAGATTTTTGATTAAAAAAATCAAAAACTCTAATGGCAGTCTGTAGCAGAAAGTTATTTTGATGGTTAATGACAAAGAAAATCAAAGTTGCCAATGACAGTCTGGAGGAGTTATGTGTTTTAGAAGATAAATACTAAGGGGAAAAATATAAGTTTAGTAAATCTATGTTGCAGCTTTACAAAAAACACAAATGTTTAATGCATTTTCTCCTTGAATGAAATCTCTCGGAGGAAATATATCTACCTTGGTCCTCACTTATATTGTTGTAAAAACAAATTTTTAAAGAAAGTTTCTTTCAGATGTGCGCTTTGAGATGTTTTGGTAATCCTCCTAATCCACTGTATCTTATTAGATACACTTAGACAGCAGGAATTAAAAAGCTCTTTCTCCATGCAAGCAAAAATGCCTCCTTGTGACTTTTCACCTGGAAAATATGAGGTAAGTCATTCACAGTGCACTGTACTTGGGTCTAAACTAGATCTCGTTGCTAAGATCACCATTCTGCTGTATGTTGTAATTGTTCTGTTCACCAACTTATTACGAGTATTCTTCAGTGGCATCAGAAGTTTAGATCATGGCTTTTATCCTTCTCTGAGATCCTTTGGAGGTCAGAGTTAAACAGGGCCTCTGTGGTGCTGATTAGAGTACAGTAGAAGAACAATCTTAACCCAAAGAAAGGTGGCAGTGAAACATTTTTCTATTATTTGTTTCCTTCTCACTGATTTTTAATTCCTAATTTGAGGAGTTCTGTAAGATGTTTAATCTCTTCAACCAAAATGTGTGCCAAGTTAGTTTTAGGGGGAGTGCAGTAGGGGTAGAGAGGGGAGGGCAAATGTTTGATTTTTAAGGAACTAAACTTATTTGGTGTCTTAATGCCCCATGGCCTGTGTCCAGCAAGGAGCTAATAAGCATCTGATCAGTTAAAAAGGTGTATTTTCAAGCAACAATCACATGAATGATAAATGTATGACTTCGATATCATGAATTAAACATTGTTGAGTAGGTGTTCTGTTACTGTGACAATTTACGGTTACAGAAGTGTGTTTACGTTTTCATCTGATGGTGTCGAGATTTATGATGGTTGAGAAATCTTCTGTGATTCAGTTCTATGGTTGTGGATCAGTTGCCAAGATAGCTCTGTATCCTGTTGTTACCGTGGGTTGGGTCACAACTGAGAATACCAAATTCAGGCCATGCTGCTGAGAAATAGGGCAGACACACCCAAAGCTGGTGGTTATTCTTCCATAAGATATACCAGACCAACAACAAAAGTAAACTTCTGTTTCACCACATTGGCTAACAAGAAGTCAGAAAAGCAGTCTCCTTAGGTAGTCCAGTCCTGGTTTCAACACCCAGATACTAGACTTAATGATGAGTGGTTATTTAAAACGAATTTCATCAAGCAAAGAGTTCTTCTGATCCCAAAGGACCAGCCACATACCAGGTCAATATATAACTCAGATCTTACTTAATAATCACACTGTTGCCAATCCTTTAGCATCTAAAGGCTTATTTATAAAAAGAAAGTAAGGTGAGAGTTAAAATTGGTTAAAGGAATCAAATACATAAATTAATTGCAAAGTTCTTGGAGTAGGCTTATCACAGTGATGGATTACATTGCTGGCTTAAGTCAAGTCTTTGGTTGCTTCCAAATGATTTGGAAGGTAGTCAGTCCCTTGGTTAGAATGCTCCCATTAGTAAAAGTTCATAGTCCAGAGGTTAGAGCAGGTAAGAGGCAACATGGAGATGTTTCCAGGGCCATTTATAATTTCTGCCGTGTGGAAGGAAACCTATTGTTCTTGTTAGTGGAAAATTACAGGTAACAAGATGGAGTTTGGGGGTCACATGGGGAAGCTACATGCCCATGTTAAATCTACTTAATTTGTGATAGGTTGTGGATTTCATAACCTTTAAGTAAGAGATCAGTGCAATATAGGATTCTTGTTTAAATTATGGTATTTCAGAGGTTTATATAGCCTAATTGTGGGTTAGTATCTATTTTAAAATTGTATTTAGTTCATTTGGATTCCAATGTGAACAATTTATATTGTGTTGATGTGATGAATCTGTAGATAGCTTTATGATCCATTAAAACTTTTAGAAATGGGGGCGGAAATTATTTCTTTCCTCCTACAGTCCTATCCCTATGAGCGTATGCTGAAGATCCGCAAACAGAATCTGTCTCCATCACTGGTAACGTACTACAAGAAACCACTGCTGCTGCATCAGGGACATATGCAGTGGCTATTTGATTATGAGGGACGAAGGTACCTTGATCTCTTTGCTGGAATTGTTACTGTCAGTGTTGGTCACTGTCACCCGTAAGTATGTTATTGTATCACAGGTTTCAGAGTAACAGCTGTGTTAGTCTGTATTCGCAAAAAGAAAAGGAGTACGCATCCGATGAAGTGAGCTGTAGCTCACGAAAGCTTATGCTCAAATAAATTGATTAGTCTCTAAGGTGCCACAAGTACTCCTTTTCTTTTTTGTTATTGTATGAGTTACACTGACTAATATAGAAATATACTTTTGTCTTTTTCGTTTGTGGCCCCATGTATCCACAGGCAGAATATGGCACGCTGTGTTTTGGTGTATCTGGGATCAAATTCTTATGTTCTAACCAGTTGCAGTGATCTTTTAGCAGATTAGCTCATTCCTTTCTTTATTTATTCATTCGTTCATCTGACAGTCAGGAAAATGACAGAATTTTAAGAATTAATAGCAGAGTCAGAAAAAAATTGTATGTATGTTGGATTAAATTAATCAGTCTTTCTTACTGCACACAGGAAGATAACTGCAGCTGCCCAAAAACAGCTTGGTCATCTGTGGCATACAACCAACATCTACATGCATCCATCAATCCAGGAATACGTGGAGAAACTAACAGCACTTCTCCCTGATCCACTTAAGGTACCTAAATCCCAACAGGGTGGATGCCTGTTAATTAAAATAATTTTATTTCACTTGATAATGGAGAGTGCTACGTTATTTGGAGACAAAATATTATAATATCAAACTCATATCCTTATTTAAAATCCCCAAAGGGAGTACAAAGCTTCAGGTAAAGAGAAAAAATGACAATTCTCAGGATAATGCTGATCTTTACAGTGAGCTCAGAGCCACACATGAACAAAACCGTAAACAGTTGCCCTACTGCTTGGATCCCCACTTTCTCTTCAAAGTTCCTCTTAAAGAGGCACTGTCAATTTAAAAATCACTCATAAGTTGAAAAATGTTTTGCTTGCTATTGTTATAATTAGCACCTAAGTTTTACTTGGAGAGGAGACTTTGGGAAAGGAAACTTTTTATTCCAGTTTGTTTACGTAGTACATACAAACTGACTGTAAAACACAAGTTAGCTGGGGGACTCAGTAGCAGTAGTCCCTGACACTACTCAGGGCTGGTCTACACTAATGCTGTAAATTAATCTAAATTACGCTAGTTCAGTTATGTAAATTATGTAACTGAAGTCAACATAACTTAGGTCGATTTACAGTGGGTCTACACTGTGCTATGTTGACAGGAGATGCACGCCCTTCGACTTAGCTTTCACCTCTCTGGGAAGTGGAGTAGAGACGTCAACGGGAGAGCACTCTGCCATCGACTTAGCGTGTCTTCACCAGATCAGCTAAATCAACACTGCTGCATTAATTGCAGCGGTGCCGATTTAGCCAGTAGTGTAGACATGGCCTCCTTAGTAAGGCTAAGATTTTGTCATGGTTATTTTTAGTAAAAGTCATGGACAGGTCACGGGCAGTAAACAAAAATTCATGGAAGTCACAACCTGTCTGTGACTTTTGCTGCTGCAAACCATGCTTTCCCCCACCACCATGGTGACTGGGAGCTGCAGGGTGACCATATTTCCCAGAGAGAAAATGGAACATTCTCAGCTGCTCGCGCGAGGTGTTCTTCCTCCCCCACCCCCATGGCCCGTCGCTGGAAGCCTGAGGAAGGCTCCCGCAGAAGTCTGTTGCCTGTGGCTGGAACCTTGCAGGGGGCCCCCCTGAGGATGCTGTTGCCTGTCACTGCTGCTGCTGGAACCCTGCCGGGGCCCCGCTGGGTGCCAGCTGCAGTGAGCGGAAGATGTCACGGAAGTCACGAAAGCACAGTATGCACAAGCTACCTGAATACCTGCCCAGGGTCTCGGGTGGGATTGTACTCTGGATGGCTAGCCTCTCGTGACACTGTGCCTGCACTTCTTATTTTAGCATGTTTGCTCAATCAGAGCTAGTGCAGGTATGTCTCCTCAAGCTGGAAATTACACCTTTCATCTCCAGTGTAGACATAACCTCTAAAGGGACATCCTACCTTTGGCCCTTGTACACAGCAAATGAGCATCACTAAGTTTATTGCAGTTTGGAGTTCCTCTTGTCAGTGACAGGATATCATTCCAAGTGCTGAGTGATATTTTATATGAAAATAAATCTGTCTTGTACTAAATAAACAGATGCACTCAATATTTCAAACTCTTTGAAGGCAAATTGCGGGAAAAGTGGTTCTTTAAACAGCTACATTTAGTTAGATTTGCCATTGTGAAACAAAGTAAATGTTCAGTATAATAAAATTACAATTGATGTGCTATTTATTCTTCCTTAGGTGGTTTACCTGACTAACAGTGGGTCAGAAGCCAATGACTTGGCTATGTTCATGGCAAGGCTTTACACTCGTAACTTTGACCTCATCTGTTTCAGGTAATTATATTAGGGTGTTTTATGAAACTCCCTTTTCATAATCAATCTGTATATCTGTATAATGCGTGAAAAAGATGATGAGCCCTTGTTAACCAGATTCTGCCACAGACACATCCTAAATAATTCATTTGTCTGCCAAAATAGAGTAAAACAGCAGTAGTCATTGGGAGCTAAGATTCAGCAAGTCTGCTTGTGTTAGAAATACTCCATTTACAAACCATGCATTCACCTAGGACCTATAACTTCTGTTTATAATCCTTAAGTAAAGTGTGTGTAATATTTATTTATATTTTTAGTATTATAAACCATGTCCGTTCTGCTCAGATATGTTGGTAATAGACACCTTTAAAAATAGTTAGAAAGGCAGACCTTAACAAACTGGTAGTCTTGCAGCCATCCTTCTGAGCACAGGGTTCTGAAATCCACCTGATATGTTAATTCCCATGAATGAATTCTGAATTGCTAATTAAATTAACCCCAAACCACCACCCAGTTTCTCATGAGTGGCAGTAACAACTTGGGAGAGAAGAGGAGTCCAAAATTAAAACAGCAGGGGTGTTTGTAATGTAGGATTCAGATGTTCTGGCAGACCTGCATGAGGAATCTTGCACAGCACCTACCTGAATTGCCGTTGGCTCCAACCAGTGTTCTTAGCCCTTCACCTTCATGAGCACTAAATTCACGTATTATTTTTTAAGTGTGCTTTAAATTGCAATGAAAACTCACAGCTGTTAGGTACTCAGAGCAGAGTGTAGGTCAAGAGGCATCCCTTATTGGATGCACCCATGTTTTCCAATGATTTGCTGTCTTCCACACACACACATCAGAAACTAGCCTTCTGTGAATACTGTACTGATATTGTTTCTTCCTAAAAACTTTTGCAGCTAGTGTAATCAGAAGAAAATGAATGTTGTTTGTGTGCTTTGTTCTGTTCACACAGAGGAGGATACCATGGAGGCAGTCCATACGCACTGGGTTTGACGTCCATTGGATCTTATAAGCATGGTGTCGCCAATGGGTTTGGCTGCCAAACAGTGAGGTTTTTGTTGCTTTTTGTCATATCTGCTGGATAACAAGCCTTCTATTTGTTTGAATATTACAGTATTTATGTAATGCTTTACATCGTCAAGCCTCCCCGTAGCCCTCTGAGATTGATAAGTAGTATATATACAGCCTAATTCTCCATTTCACTGCACCTTGTGTAGTTATTTGCATCCACACAGAGCAAATGAAGAATGCTAGCAATGGGAATGATAGTGTTTTATACCACTTGGCTCTCGCTTTGTACTGGTATAAATGCAGCACAAGATGCAGAGCGATGGTGTATCAGCCGCTGGGTCCTATTCTCAGGTCTGTTAGGGCAGGTTTGTCCGGTTTGCTGTTGCAAAGCTGCTTAAAGCTGGCGCATAGGGGATTCCCTTTTGAACTGAAAATATTTTGGAAATACATAGTGGCTCCTGCAACACCCCCTCACAGTCCCCACCATAGGGGGTGTGTCTGGGGAAAGGGGTGTGCATAGTATCTTTACAGCGTGGTGACCCATGGCTGCAGGAATGGTTTCTGGAGGCTGTGGCAGCTGGTGTTGGCTAATGTAATCTATGCCAGGAACCAGACCAGCCACAGAACTGCCCCCCAAAGGGCTCCTTTCTGATGTGCTGCTTTCCCCTGGCTCTTCGATGCACCCAGCCTTCTCTGAGTGCGGATAAGAATCTGGCCCATAGAATTTATTACGTGACTTGCCCATTGTCACATAGTCATTGTCAGAGTCAGGATTATAATATATAAATTCCTGGCTTCCAGCCTGCTATCATCATTCCACTAGACTTCACTGCATTCTTCCAAGGTGAATAACTGGATGAAAAACAGTACTCAGAGTAGTTATCAGTGGTTCATGGTCAGATGTCTAGGACATATTAAATGATGTCCTGCAGGGGTCTATCCTGAGTCTGGTACTAGTAAATATTTTCATTAATGACTTGGAGAATGGAGTGAATACGCTTATAAACTTCATGGATGACACTAGGCTGGGAGGGGTTGCAAGTACTTTGGAGGAGAGTATTACAATTAAAAATGACGGTGATAAATTGGAGAAATTATCTAAAATCAACAAGATGAAATTCAGTAAAAACAAGTGCACGGTACTGCAGCTGGGAAGGAAAAATCAAATGCACAAATAGGAAAATGGGGAATATATGTGGCTAGGCATTAGTACTGCTGAGAAGGATCTGGGGGTTATAGTGGATCACAAATTGAAGGCTAATGTCTTTCTGAGGTGTATTAACCGGTGTGTCGTGTAAGACACTGGAGGTAATTTTCACACTCTGCTCTGCTCAGCACCGATGAGGCCTCAGCTGGAGTCTTGTATCCAGTTTTGGGTGCCACACCTTAAGAAAGATGTGGACAAATTGGGGAGAGTCCAGAGGAGAGCAATAAAAATCATAAAAGATTTAGAAAACCTAATCTATGAGGAAGGGTTAAAAAACCTGGTCATGTTTAGTCTTAAGCAAAGATTACTGAAGGGGCATATTTGGTAAGTTTTCAAATATGTTAAGAGCTGTTTATAAAGAAGACTGGGATCAATTGTTCTGCATGTCCACTGAAGGTAGGACAAGAAGTAATACATTTAATCTGCACCAGGGAGATTCAGGTTAGATATTAGGAAAAGCTTCAGACCATAAGGATAGTTAAGCTCTGGAATAGGCTTCCAAGCAAGATTGTGGAATCCCCATCCCTGGTGATTTTTAAGAACAGGTTAGACAAAAACCTGTCAGGGATGGTTGTGTTATACTTGGTCATTCCTCAGCACATGGGGCTAGACTAGATGACCTCTTCGGGTCCCTTCCAGCCCCCTAATTCTCTGACTTTACTGCCCTTTTTCTACAGAATCTTGGAATTAAACTGGCCATTTTGGACAAAACTGTAGTAAATCTTGGGTAACAATAATTAACTAACATAACTAAAAAATAAACAGGTCAGCTGTGAGTGAATACCCCCAAAAATAGTCACTTGAGGACAGAATGTTTTTAACTTCAGAAACTTTAATTTCTGGCCTTCTACCTCACTTTCTGCATGAGGCCTCAAATCTGTGAGGGGGATAAATGGTTCTTATTTATTTTTTCACAAGTCGTTTTTGGACGGATCAGCTGAATCAGGTCTCAGATGCAATCAGATTTTTGAGTTCTCTTTATCACAATCTCTATTTAAACAAAACAACAGTATTGGAATAAGTGTTTAATGACCTTCAGAATGATCAGTGTATATAAAAAATGTTCTGCTGATCAGTACTTACATTCCTCACACTGTCAAATTACAGCTGTTTGTTGTGCTTTGCAGACAATGTTACCAGATGTTTTTCGTGGTCCATGGGGAGGAAGCTATTGCCGAGATTCTCTGGTGCAAACTATTCGGAAATGCAGCTGTTCTCAAGGTTAGTTGGTGGCAAAAAATGTCCATTGGTAGGTGCAAAAGAAAAGGGACTGGAGAAGGCAACTGGATGTTTAACAACATAGACAAATATGTATACACTGCTAAGAATATTACTGTTTACTGAGAAGTTTGATGATTGTAATTTTGGCAAGCAAGTCTTCATCAATAGGGCCTCTTGGCTGTGTTTTTTTTCAAAGGGGCTTAAAGGAATTGGACCCTCAACTCCCTTTCAGAAATATGTGGGAGTTGGGCATCTAACTCCTGTAGAATCCTTTGAAAATCCTGAATTGAGCCCCTAATGACTAAGTCAAGTTCAGTTATCATAATCAGTAGCCTGCTGCTCTGAAATATTTAGCATTGCCAGGAGATTAGGGTTACTAACAAATGTGTTTTCTACTCTCCTGGGTAAAGTTTTGGTAGATGTCCATCTCTTATCTTGAAGGGACATATGATCAACGTAAACTATAAATCAAAAACTCTGAAACTTTGGGTGGCAAAAGTCTTGCATGGAACAAGGCATTATGGATGCTGCAGAGTGTGTTCAGTCCATGTGAAAGCTCCACTGTTCTTTTACAAGTGATGATTAGAAAATATATTGTTTTTCTCCTAGGTGCAATAAACATTGTTTACTCACTTTTCCCACAACAAAGCAGTCTCTTGCCATCTTTCTTTGTCACTGATGGTCAATAAAGGGAGGAGTCACACTAGCTTGCAACTACTTGAAGACATCTGGTTTGTGTTCTGTTACAGTACATAGTGATGCCCAGTCACATACAGTCATATATTTTCCATAATATTCCACCTGCCTTTTCATTAGAAATCATGCTGGACCAAGATGTACTTAGTCTTATATTTATCATCTCATAAACTTTAAGGCCAGAAGGGGCCATTGTGATTATCTAGTCTGTCCTCCTGCACATTTCAGGCTACAGAACTTCACCCACCTGCTCCAGTAATAGACTGATAACCTCTGGCTGAGTTACTGAAGTCTTTAAATCATGATTTCAGGACTTCAAGTTACAGAGATTCCACCATTTACACTAATTCAAATAAGCAAGTGATCCGTGCCCCGTGCTGCAGAGGAAGGTGAACTCCTCCTCCCCCTCCCCAGTGTCTCTGCCAATCTGGCCTGGGGAGAAATTCCTTCCTGACCCCAAATATGGTGATCTGTTAGCTCCTGAGCATGTGGGTGAGATGCACCGGCCAGAGAGCTGGGAAAGAATACTCTGTAGTAACTTAGAGTCCTCCCCATCTAGTGTCCCGTGTCTAGCATTCACAGGTGGGCCATGTGCCATGGTAGACAATCTTATCATACCATCCCCTCCATAATCTTCTCAAGCTGAGTCTTGAAACCAGTTAGGTTTTCTTATCCAGGCAAACTGCTCATTCATTCCTTGGGCTGATGTTCAGTTCTTCTAATAACTGCCTGCCTTGCATATATAGCACTGGTCTGAAGGATGGGGGAACCCTCATATGCTGCAACTTTCTGTTTGCACTCTGTGATTCTTTGGAACTTTTTAGAGAATAAATGGTTTAAAAAAGCTTAGTGGTTTGGGGTTTTTTTGTAGAAGGGGAGAAAGATGCCATGCAGTCAGACTGTGGCTCTTTTCTAACTTCTGTGAACTAGGAAAAGTAAGAAAAAAGACTGACTTGCTGACACAGAAAATATGTGGGGAAACAAAATGATTAATTTCCTTTGGTAACTCTAATCTGGGAACATTACAGTTCTTATTACATACGTTAAAACACTAAAGAGATGTTCTTATTTACATATGTTAAAACACTGCAGTTTCACATTATTAACCTAACTTTGTATTATTTTCAGTACATTATTCTTATCAGTATTTCCTCCACACAGGATGTTGCGAAGCAAACGACCAGTACGTTGAACAGTTCAAAGACACTCTGAGTACTTGTGTTACAAAGGCAATAGCTGGGTTTATCGCTGAGCCAATTCAAGTAGGTGACTTGCCATACCTCATTCTGATTGTAATAGTACAGTAAACCACAAAGTGCTAAAATCTGAACGGGTCTTTTACAAGATTGACAAGCCCTAAATGGAACTTCCCTCTAACAATAGCAATTTTAATCTTCTCTGAATCACTTTGATCATTCAAAAGGAAGGGCTGCAACATTACTTAAATCTTAACTTTTTTCCAGGAGGGTGACTTGCCAACAAGACATCCTGGAGAAGTCCTGGCCCCATTGAAGTCAAATGGGAGCTTTGCCTCTGACTTCAGTGGAGCCAGGATTTCATTCTTGGTGTTGTTTTTGGGTTTTGTTTTTTTTCCCCTTGATATCTGAGAACAGGATTCTTAAATTTTCCATATCCTGTCTACTCAATAACAGACCAGTGGACAATTTGAGATGCACACTATTCCTACAAAACAAAACTGGTAAATCAAATTTTAGCCTTACAAGCCTTAATGTCTCTTTCATAAATTGATTTTAAATATTTAGCAAATTATTTCTGGTTAATATACAAGTATTTAATAAAATATGTCAGACTCAAGCAAAATAGGTAATTTTAACCAGTGTTGCCTATCTGCTATCAGTTGATAGATTAAAAAGTGTACAGAGCTCTATTGTAAACTATTATTCTTTAAGGTCTTGTTTGCATTCTCGGGATGTTGAAATGCTAATACATTATACAAATGTGCATGTTATAACTTAGTTTCGAATACTTCATTCCTAATTACATGTTGTTTTCCCTTCTGCAGTATACTGGTTCTGTAGAAGTTGTCTGTTAAAAGTATTAAAGTCACCCCGTAAGTGACTGATACCCACTGAGTCTACAGTAAATCATACTTAAAAGCCTAGTTATTATAACATAGAGAATTAATTTTAGGAATTACTTAGCTTCAAATCGCACTATGCCTAGTTTATCTAGCAAATCCACAGAATCCTCGCTCCCCCTCTGCTTTCCTTTGTAGTTTCTGACTCCCTTGTACTTAACTTCTGACTCTCCTCATCTCTTCCTTCATGATTGCATTTTTGGGTCAGAGGGATTTCTCTTTTGGCAGTGCAGCTGTAGTTAAGTTTCATTTAATTCATACAGGCTCTAGGCATTCCCCTATGACATGAACCTCATAGTCCATTATTTAAGATATTAGCCTAAGTTAGGGAAGTGAAAGGCCTGTTAGACCATCAAGTCCATCTTGCTCCAAAACCAAGGTTATGCCCTACAGTACGTTTTCCGGTGTTATACCTAGTCTAATTTTAAATTTCCTAGTGCTGAAGTTTCCATCTTGTTATACCAATAAAATAAAAACCAGCAGGATCTTATGAAAAGGGATAAGGCAAAATGCCACATTTATTGTGAATAAAGAAAGAATCATAGTAAGCAGTTAGTTATAACTATAACATTCCATTCAATTTCATATTTATTCACACATTCATTCATACACAGACACGGGTTCTGCAAGGTTGTTATTATAGTTACCAGCCTTAGAGTTGCTCGTGTCAAGCCACTGGCCAGGTGGCCTGGACACAAGGAGGGAGCAGGGCCTTGTCAAATGCACATCTGATGCTCCTGAAAGTTGGTTTGCAGAATCAGACCCCAAAGTTCTCAGTTTCTCGAGTCCATTTTTATAGGAATTTATTCCTATGCCAGTCTATGGGAATTGCTTCATCATGCTGTTGCTGAATCAATCAGCAGATGGCACATTCCTGATGGCTCCGTGCTGCCAGATGTTATCTTGTTCTTCGGTCCTCCCATCCTTGAGGCTGTTGGGTGGATTCCAGTCTGCCCTCCGGGGGTCCTCTGGTTGTTTCCAGTTGACTTCTTCGGCCAATGGACACTGGATTCTTAGGCTAACACCTCCCTGATCATTCATTTATTATCCACACCAAGCATCCATCCACATCCATCCTCTATCTCTATTTTAATCATAATTGTTAACAAAGCGAGATGAATACAACAAAAGGGTGGGGAGTCTCTGGGTGCTGTTTCTTTTGTTACGAAGTATCGCTTTGAGTCTCTCTCTGTGTGAGTAGTTGTTGTTACAAAGTATTGCTTTGAGAACAGACTCTGTCTTAGGATGTACTAACACAATTAGCAGCTTGCAAGTTTCACACAGAGAGGGAGAGAAACAGTAAACACAAGAGACCTCTTAATTAGTAATACCCTGGAATTTAAATTATGAGGAATCAAACTCATTTGTGATTTTAATACAGAACTTCTTTAATATGATCCAACATAACAATCTGTTCCACTGGGAATATACTTTAGAGTATAACAGTTTCACTGAAGGGAATTTTGTCCTGATATTTGGACTAAATTTTCACTTGCTTAGTTTCATCCCATTACACCTAGGTATTCCGCTAATTTCTCTCCATCCATTGGGGTTTTGCAAGCTTTATATACTCCCAGACTATTATGTTATCCCCCCACCTTTGGCATTTTAATCTAAGTGTATATGCGTTATTCCCTGATAACCAGAAACTTCTATGCTTAAACTCTGTACCATTTTTTTTATTTTAACATCATCTTAATAAAATTATTAAATCATTTCTTTTAGTCTTCTCCTAATCATTTGCTCCAGCTCTCAGTTCATGTTTGCCATTGGTCTGTGAGCTCTCGCCAGTTTGTCCCATTCTGGTAATAACATGCCTACAAGTGATACAGCTTTCCAGATATTGTCGCCATACAGAGTATAATTCTCTGAAGCATATTTGGTGTTGGTTCATTGGACAAGTGGTTCCGAAACTTTTTTTTGCCTCTCTTTGTGACCCACTCAGAGTCCAGATTGCGGGGGTGGAGGGAAACGAGTCAGGACCTGCAGGACTGGGTCCAGTTCCCTGCTCTGGGTGTTGCAACCTGGCAGACAGGGGTCGCAGCACCACTCAGGTTTGGCCCATCTGCTAGGTCGCAAAACGCAGTGCGGGGAACCGGGTCCAGCCCCACAGGACAGGAGCTGCTGCTGTGTAGTGAATAAGGGGTGGGCTCATCTCCCCTCCCCCCAACCTTCTCTTCACACTGGGCCACCTAGAACCTTCCTGCAGCCAACAGGTGGGTGCGACCCACCATTTGGGAAACATTGTATTAGAGAGAGAAGGCTGACATCATGTTTTATCTTTTACTTTTCACTGTCTCCTAACTCTTCATATTGTTTTATTCTTATAGCCCATGAAATATTGATAAAAAGTGGGAATTCAAGTTCAAAAGAAAGCCACTCCCTCCATTTCTGACTGTTTAGCAATGTGACTAAACAGATCTACCACAAAAGGAACTTTGATCATTAAGTTATCTAGTGACTTAAAATTCTGCCTAGATTTCTCGCTGTCTGATCCCCTGAGGACTGCCTGTGTTTGTGATTTAGCATTTGTGTTGAAGACAGTATATTTGTTCATTTTTGACAGGGTGTTAATGGAGCCGTTCAGTATCCTAAAAGATTTCTAAAGGAAGCTTTTCAGCTAGTGCGTGAAAGAGGAGGCATCTGTATTGCAGATGAAGTGAGTATCCAGAAATACAATTTTTAGGGATTGGGATATTTCTGCCAGGCTACTGAAAAATCCAGCAATCACATGAAGGCAAAATAGAGACCAGGAAATAGTTTGTATTAAATTCTGAATTTATTTTAATTAATCCTTTCCTGTTTCACAGCCTAAGAGGGGAACAAAGTGCGGCATTCCAGCACAAGAGCCTTTGCTAGACAAAGCTAATAGAAGTTGTTAATCCTTCACTTTCATGTGCATTAAATTAACACAAATAGTACTCCGTTGACAGTTTATGTTGCAAAATCTTAGAGTCCCACTCACTGGTTGTGTAAATGGGTAGAGCTCCATTGACCTATTTACATCAGCAGAAATTTTTGGTTCTTAAACTCTTACCATTACTCATTTGAGGCCTGACCCAGAGAGGCGTTGTCTGCATTAGGAAAACAGTTTTTACATTTGTAAAATTTTAATCTTTAATCACATTGTAAAATTGTAGTGTAGACAAGGCAAGTACCTCTGTAACTTTAGAGGGGAGCCTTCTGCAACTCTTCTGCAGTTACACATTTTAAATCTAATTTGCTCGGTTAAGACAATCTGAATTACTACTAACTAACAGGTTTCAGAGTAGCAGCCGTGTTAGTCTGTGTTCGCAAAAAGAAAAGGAGGACTTGTGGCACCTTAGAGACTAACCAATTTATTTGAGCATAAGCTTTCGTGAGCTACAGCTCACTTCATGCTGTAGCTCACGAAAGCTCATGCTCAAATTAATTGATTAGTCTCTAAGGTGCCACTAGTACTCCTTTTCTTTTTACTAACTAACTAGCTCGGTTAGGGAAACAGTTTAAGTGACTAAGGTACACTTTGATGGATGCTAGAGGTGTTAGGGGTGGTAGAATTATTACAGCTTGAAACTGGAGATTCTGAAAAATGCTACACAGCTGCAATTCTCATTGACTTCAGTGGAACTGACAGCTTCCCAGTCCCTTTGGCCATGTTTACTAGGAGAAAAGGTGTTAGCTCTCTCATTATAAAAAACACTTTCTTAGTATTGTAATTTTTATAGCTGGTCAGTGCTGGAGTACACCAAACCCTTAAGGTGCCAGGAATGTGCCAGGTATACCATGACTCAGAAGCAAGCTCTGTTAGGTGCTTCAGCAACTAGGCCTTGTAGGAGGTAATTCTGGTGGGTCCCAGTAACTACTCAGACACATGGCTAAGTGAAAGAGTATTTTATCAGGGGTGGCAGGAATGGGGAAGTTAGCAACTATCCTAGGCATGGAGGCTTAAACAGTTACAGTTCAAAGTGAGCAATAGCAGTTCTTGTTTGGGTCCCTGGGGCAGCCCAACTGAGTTAGGGCTTTTCAGGTTGAGTACCCTGGGTGGCCTTTCCAGTCTGGTATGTATTCAAGCAAAGAGGAATTTGCAGATTTCAAGGACAGGATCGCTTAGTGGTGAGTCTCTCATTAGGGCCACTTGACACTGGCTCCCTGCCCTGTCGCTTCCCAATCAGTCCCACACACACATAAACCCAGTTTACTCCTGGGGGAATTCTGTGCTACTGCACGTGTGCATAATTAATTAGATGCACATATTTTAATTTTTTTGCACAGAAAAAGCTTGTCAAAATGTTGTTGCAGTTCTGCCTTCTGTCCACCAGAGGGCACTGTGGCGCAAGAACAGCTGAGCTATGGGGTAAGGAGGTGGCTGAGTAGGGGCAGAGAGACACATGGGGACAGGGGAGTGGCTGAGTGGGAGCACAGGGACACATAGAGACAGGGGGTGCAGGGCCACATAGGGACAGAGGAGTGGCTGAGTGGGGCACAGAAACACAGGGAGATGGGTGCAGAGCCACATGGGGATGGGGGAGTGGGCGTGTGAGTGGAGGGACACATGGGGGTGCAGGGACAGATGGGGACAGGGCAGCTGTGCCTGACTGAATGGGAGAGGCAAGGGGCCAGCCAGGGTCTGCATGGGGGAAGCTCCCTAACAGTCCATCCCCACCCCCCGAAAAAAACTGTTCCATACTTTTCCCACCCATACCCAACAACCCAAATTCATACCTAGGTTCCTTCCCAGCAATTTACTCATCTCCCTCAGCTCTTCTGTTACCCCTGGCTCCCCCCAGCCTTTGCACCGCTTCTGAGGGTGTGGGAAATACGATTCGTTATTGTAGTTTAAATGAATTATTACTTGGAGTTCTGTATTAATAAGCCTAGTAAGGAATCTGTTTGTCAAAAAAAAAATTCCTGAATCTTTTTTGTTGTCTGTATTGTTAGACATACTTACTGACAGGTATTTTGAAATAAATGACCAAAAATAATTGAAACTGGTGTGACTATAATGTGTTATTTTGACAACATATGCAGAATTTTAAAATATTGTGTGCATAATTTTTTGGCACAGAATTCCCCTAGGAGTACTAGCTGTAACATGTGGCAGTCCCAGTCTGTTCCACACAGAGCTCTGTATACAATTCCTGGGGGTTATTCCCTGTATCTGACTTACCATAGCAGTTTCTGCCTCCTGAAAATGCCCAGTCACTTCCTGATCAGGGTCCTTTCTCCTGCCTGGCCAATGGAAAAGAAAGTATAATGGGGAACGTAGTCTGCTGCTTGAGCATTTCCTGGATGAGGATCCTTTCTCCTACCAGGCCAGGAGGAAGGGGATATGCAGTGGCGAAGGGCTGATGGGAATTATTGTCTCCTGCTTAGCAGTTTCATCACAGTGTAGTTTCTCTAATGAAGTTCATTATATTAACTCAGGTTACGTGTTGAGTAATAATACTAGATTTAAATTGTGTAACAACAGAAGATAGTCTTAGGATGTATACAATACCACTTTTCATTTGCATCAAGTGTACAGTGTCTCTATAAAGATGAGCTGTCAACAAAACCAATAGTGGAACCTGTCTTGTACTACAGTCACTGTTTAGCATAGGAAAGAAAATGTGTGAGGATGAGTTGAATGAGGATCCTGCTAGAATAAAGTTGGCATTTAGAGTCTATAGCTATAGATGCAAATTGGTAACAGAAAGGCACAGACAAAATACAAGTTATGAAACCAAGAAACAACTTGAACAATTTTGGATTTTCTTTTGAAAGGTCCAGACAGGCTTTGGACGAACTGGCAGCCATTTCTGGGGATTTCAAACACATGGTGTAGTCCCTGACGTTGTTACCATGGCAAAAGGAATTGGTAATGGTTTTCCAATGGCAGCTGTCGTAACCACACCAGGTATAAGTATTTGTTATTTTAAAGCATGAAATTGAGGTGTATAATAAATATATTGTAGAATAACTTAGCTTCCATAGAGCCTTTTGTCCAACCAGATTACTTTAGAAATATTAAAATATTTAGTCTCAGAACATGCTTACAGGGTTGGTAAGTATGGTCCCCATTGCACACACAAAAAATACTGAGGCATTGAAAGAGTGTAATTTTTTTTTATCAGACTCAGATTGTGCTCCCCATTACACCAGTTCAAATCTAAGGTAAATCCATTAAAATCAATGGTCTTATACTGGGGTAACTGAGATCAGCATCTAGCCCAAATGAGTCGTTGGCAGACCTGACAGAACCCAGAAATCCTGACTGAGTTCACTGCCCTACCCATTAGACATAATACTAAGGAAGCATTCTGGACAACTCCAGAATTGTTGACTGGTTAATACTGACGAGTCAGTGGATTTAATGTCTCAGAGAATAATGGATGTATTCATTGCTGTAGTGGATAATTCACTAGCTCTGCTGGAAACTTAACTCTTCATCTATTAAAATCCATCCCCCTTCCTTTTAGCATCTGTTACACAGACCATGTATTTTCTGGAACTTTGCCCTAATAAATTCAAATCGGTTACCAAGAATATACCATTTTCTTCTCCTTTTGCCTGGAGTTAAAACAGAGAATGATGCATAGTATTATTAAATGTGAAGTGAAAACTGATAAGTACTTATCATCAGACTTCAGGTAATTGTGAGGGAGGAAATCAATAAATATTCTTTTTCTTTTAGAGATTGCAAATTCCTTGGCTCAAAACCTTCATTTTAACACATTTGGAGGAAACCCTTTGGCCTGTGTAGTTGGATCTGCAGTTCTTGATGTAAGAAGAAAGTGATATGTTCATAGTGTCTTACGCTATTGTTTGCTATGCGTTATGGCAGAGGCAGCTTTGTGCTACTTCCCTTTCCAATGGTGGGACTTCTAATACATACAGAAAATGAGACAAACATTTATTTTTATTAATTCATAGGCAATGTGCCCTTGTAGAAAAAATAAATTGCCTGACTATTCCCATTTCTATAACTGATTTCAACTTGTAGCAGGAATAGGAAGTTTAAATTACTCTAGGGATAATACTATGATTAACAGCTTCATCTTTTTCTTTCCTTGCTTATATTCTTCTTATTTGTCAATAGAAGTATATGGAATTTACTTATGTAGCTGTCATAATTCTATGTAGTTCTGTCCCAGGGAGTTTTCATCATTTTTCCTTTATAGAACCCCTCTAAACTAGCAAAAGCACTTTATTCGGAGGCACATATTTAAAACGTATTTTAACCCTCACAGCTTCCGCTTTAAAAAAAAATAAGTGAACTTAAATCCTCATGCAACACCTTGAAAAGCATGAGCTACACACATGCTCCTATTGATGTGAGGTAATTTAGTCTGTAACAGCCACATTCACTTGGTCACATGTAAATATCCTTCCTTAAGCCTCATTTCGAAACTGTATTGCCAGGTTCTGAATATCTGGCTCCCATATTACACCCTGATTTTACTGGAGGCTTGTTCCAACAGAATAGGCTGTTGGTCCTCTGAATCGCTCTCTATCGTCACAGTCAGCATAGTAATTAAAAAACCTAGGAGATCCGACCCCTCGTATTTTTTGTTTAAAATAACTATTACCAGGATAGTTCAGATCCAGGTTCTGTTTTAGCCAATCTTCAAAGTCTGAAAAGGATTAAATTAAGACAATGTGCCAGTTTTAGCCTCGCAAATTGCAAAATCTTTTGTTCTCTTCATTTTTGCAATTCAGTGTACGAGCGGGTTCGTATAGGTCCGTGATTAAATACAATAGCATCTTTTTATTTTTATTTCCAACAGCCCCCAGCTACTGGTGCACGGTCAAGATATTAGACTCTGTGCCAGGAGCTGGGGACTGCTAGAAATAAATCAAATTAAGTTACTGCGTTTTTAAAGTGAATGCTTTGCTAAATATAGCTTAGTAATGTACTCAGGGGTTTCCCAGAAAGCTTTGGGAGTAATAGGTATGCTGTCAAATTATAGGCACCTTCCATAGTTTGACACTGCTATGGCAAGGGAAAGAGGGCTAAACTGAACCTGACAGATTTTTAAACGGATTAAGATCGTCAGCTTTATATGCACAGTCAAACCTCACAAATATACACTAGAATCTGGAGATCAATTTTTAATTGGTGGGTAAACAATGAAAAAGGATATGACATAAGCTATGTTGGTTAATTTGACAAGTGTAGTGTAGTTTTTTACAGCATTTCCTATATACTTGAAGAGGTCAAATTTAAGGCAGGGTTAATAATATATGCCTGTTGTAAATCTTTGCTGAGGGGCATTGAGAATGCAGGCCCGTTATAGGGGGTGCAGATGAGCCAAGTTCTATACATTATTATTTCCCACAACATTTGTTTTTGTATATCATTTTTAACCAGGCTATTGCAGAAGATGGTCTACAAAAGAACAGTGAAGAAGTGGGGACTTACATGCTACTGGAGTTTGCTAAACTGAGAGATAAGTTTGAGATCATTGGAGATGTCCGTGGCAAAGGCCTTATGATTGGGATAGAAATGGTGAAGAATAAGGTTGGTAAATGGCACATGCCCTTCTATTTACCCCAGTATTAAGACTCAGGCTTCCTGTGAAATGACTATATGCTGACTGACAGCTACTTCTCTGAAAACGAGTCAGAACTCTGCACTGGCTAAAACTTAGAATTTTCAAAGTGCTTAATACATCAGGAATTCTGAATAGTCCCATCCTAAAAGGCAGGACAATCATTAACTTTCTCCAAGGAGGGTGGTAGCAATGGAACACTTGTTGCTTTTTCCATAATTTAGTTTAACATCTAGCCAAAAAAATTGTCTCTCTTCTCTCCCCCCCCCCCCCCCCCTTTGCACAGGACAGTCGTCAACCTCTTCCAGCTGAAGAGATGAGTCAGATCTGGGAAGATTGCAAAGACATGGGAGTATTGATTGGCAGGGGTGGAATTTATAGTCAGGTACAGTAACTGATGTTTATGTATCTTTTGTCCTGACTAAATTGCAGTGGAGTTGACTTCTCTAAAAATTACTTCTGTTCAATTTAAGAATTATAAAAAAGTGAGACATTCATAAACAAGACTATTATGTTTTATGAATATAGCAGATCAAGAAGCTTTATTTGTCTTAATCCTCTCAATTATAGTATATTCAATATAAGTGTTATTTACTACTGTTTCAGAGGAACAGCCGTGTTAGTCTGTATTCGCAAAAAGAAAAGGAGTACTTGTGGCACCTTAGAGACTAACCAATTTATTTGAGCATGAGCTTTCGTGAGCTAGAGCTCACTTCATCAGATGAAGTGAGCTGTAGCTCACGAAAGCTCATGCTCAAATAAATTGGTTAGTCTCTAAGGTGCCACAAGTACTCCTTTTCTATTTACTACTGTTTGATTCCTACCTTTCAGACAAGAAATGTGACCCTTAATAGTAGTTTGTGATGCATCTATCAACCAATTCTGAATTCCCTAGCTCTGTGGAATTTAGATGCTATCTAAAACAGCAATGCCTACAACTATCAATTCTAGCCTATTGTTCAGTTGTATCAGCACAGCATACACTCAGGAGAGCTGATAAAATTTGATCCAGCTGGGAATAAGAGCATGTCTTCCTTATGAATCCATCAGCATGGGGGCATGACCCAGACCGTTATTAAATACTGTACCTAGTAAATTGTTTGAGAGAACTTATTCCACTCCAAGTAGAATAAGTTAACAGGCAGCAAAGGATTGCTGGCATTTTCCTCCTCTAAGGTAATGGGTAGGGTTATTAGCTTACTGCTGTCAGTGTTCAGAGCCAGGATAGACAGGCAGAGGACTTAACCAGGCTCCCTCAGATCAGCCAGCTTCCTTGGGAATAAGTTATAGTAGGGAAAGGGGTTGGTGGAGACTTGCTGATGTGCATACTGCACCTCAAATTAATTCTTGCATTGCACAATCAACTGTTTTGAACAGACTTGCACCTGTTGAAGTAGGTCTAGTAATATTTCAGCCTGATTATAGATGGTGCAGGTGATCTGTCCTCAGACAGACAGCAGTAGGAGCTGTAAGGGTTCAGCTTCTCTAAAACTATCATTAATACCCATGCCTGGTCTGATTTTTAAATTACACATCCTAGGGCAAATAGTCTAATATTTAGAAAGCACAGAAGTAAATAATATTTTAAGTCAAAGTTCAACCACAACTGTAACAGTTGATAGGCACCAGTAAGGTTTACATAAGTCAGTGGAATTCAAATAGGAATGATTTTGTTCTGGTTGATTTAAACAGTTGAAAGCCTGAATTAAGTAAGGGAACATATGTTAAAACTAAATTCAATTCCATTCTGAGACACTGCAGAACAGAACCATGAAATACTTGCCAATGAAAAGAGCACGTGATTGAAGTGCACTACTTAAAATCACATCTTACTAAAATAGATTCACCTGGTATCGAAAACATCACTGTTTTCCCCCCTCTTACCCTCTGGCTGTTCCTTTTGCTAGTTTTATTTTTACACACTTGAAGCCTGCAGCAACACATCTCAGGATGACTAGCTAGGGCTCCCTCCCTTCATTTAATTCCTCTGTCCAGTTATAGCATTGAGGCTTCTTAAAGCACATGCCTAGCATCTGCTGGTGTGAAATTGTTTTCTTGCATGGGAGTAGTTTGCCACTCTTAGACTAGGCTGGTATTACCATTGTTACAACTAGTTTGGTACCTGTTACTTTTTCTATGATTACTTTTTAAAAAAATGCAGGGATTGGTGTTCGTGTCATTGCACATCAATTAGTCTGTGCCTCCCCCTGTAATTTCAAACTTTCTTCTTTTCTCCCCTCAGACATTTAGAGTTAAACCTCCAATGTGCATTACTAAACAAGATGCAGCCTTTGCAGTGGAAGTATTTCATGCTGCATTAATGAGACACTTGGAAAGAACAGCTGCAAAATAGACTATGAACAATGTTTCTCCTTACTAGGATGTTTGGTAACAGTTGAGAATCACCCTCCAAGCCCTGAAATATTGCTGTAACTACAGCTGGCAAGAAACTTAAAGTATGAAGAGAAGATTGATGTAATTTTCCTGAACATGTAACTCTTATGAGTTTAAATAATGTGAAAGATTACTGTGACTCAGTTTGCTACACATGCAAGAAGTCAGTTTTATGGCAATGTTGTGTTAAGAAAACAATACCTATTGTTAACACAAATCAAACCTCATTTTTTAAAATTAGGTAGTGCCTTCCAGCAAGTGACAGTGGCTGGTGTGCTCAGGCTGGCACTACATGAAAAGGCATGCTGAAGGATACTGCCTTTACAATTCTATCATATCTGGGATAGTTCTTTCTTTCTGCCTGGCTGTTTTGCTCTTAATAGGTGGAATTCTGGATGTAGCTTCTACAGTGACAGAGGGAGTGCTCTGTGTAATCTTGCTACAGTGACATTTGCTTATCCTAACCAAGACTGGAGGCAGCATCACAGGACAAAATACTTTGCTCCTGAAAAACACTTGGTGGAAAACTATGCTACAGTTAGTCATAATAGGAAGTGAGGGGTAGGAGTGAAATTCCTCCAGAGTGGAGGATCTGCTGGAAGCTCTTCAAGCAGGGCCTCAGTGAAGGAAAGTTGTATGAGTAAGCTGTAACAAGAGGATGGATTTTATTTAGTAGTTTTAGAGGAAGATACTTAAATAAGGGTATAATCATTCATCAGTGGGTTCTAGTCTCCTGCCCACTCTCAACAGTGATCTTTTCTCCTTTGACTGATAGCCACTCACCACCTTGTGTCAGCAGCCAGGGATGGTGTTCTCTTCCTCTCTCCTGTCATCAGTAGAGATCTCATATACCTTAGATCTTTTTCCCCATTCAAGATAACTGCTGGATTGTTTAATCCTGTCTGACAATTTATACTTAATTCAGTTTACAAATGTGAGTTAATTTCTTGGTCCAATAAAAGGTATGACACTGCCCTTGTGTATTTTATTCTTTACATTTTGGCTGTGTATGCAAAGTTTGGGGATAGATTAGCCCTTATCCTACAAATAGTTTTATAGTTGTGGGGCCTTAATTTGCATCACATCCTAGATAGGAACTAGGGTCCTGTAGGGAACAGTAGAGCAACTTTGTCTTAGATTTCTAATTTTTTGTTGTTGGTATGGTGGTCTAGAATGGGCAGATGGTCAGACACAGACACCTGTCCATCCTAACTCACATTAGATGAGCTCTGTAAAATAAAAAGAACAAAGTAAGTGTTAAAATAATTTATTTCCTCCTACTGTACACTTCCATTCATACAAGTCCCACTAGGTATCTAGGATGACCAGCTTTAAGAATATTTGTTATTTTTTCAAGATTAACAGCAAGATGAAATTCAGTCGTTAATGAAGTGTTGGTAAAAAAAATAAACAATTTTTAATACAAGATAAAAATGTTTTGCCACACTGAAATTGCTGCAGGCCCAAGAACTGCTTCCCAATTTAATTTGGATTGTAGGATTCCTGTCCTTTGGTTTTCAGAGACTTTTTTTTTCAAATATGCACCCAAAAACAGAGTTTAAAACAATCGAGAAGTCCTATCTGTTTTTACGTTTCTCTTTTTTGCTTCTGTTGTTCCCGGCACCATTTACAGCTGGTGCTTGCATTGCTTTTGCATGGCCTGTGGCCTTTAAGTGTTCAAACAGTTTATTCCGGGACTGAAATTCACAATTGCAGGTTATACAGTGGATAGGAATATCTTCATTCTGGTAGGAGAAAAAAAATACAATGCTTCATGTCAGTAGATACTATAGAAACAATAAAACAATATTTTATTGTTTTACTGGCTAAGGAAGAGTGCATATTAAACAGCAACATTTATCTTCAACAAAGAGCTAACCTCTGAAATGGATAAGCATGAATGATTCTTTCAGAAAAATGTGACCACCAACTCTTTTTGAACATCTGAAAAGTGTTTTATGGCAAATAAGCTCTATTCAGCACTCCTTATTAAGTTCCAAATAGGTTCCTAAATGAACTATGGATCTGCAAGGAAGACTAAGAATTGAAACATAGTGTCCCCTAAAACAAAACTATGCATACTAATGTGTTTGTTTAAAGTTGAGTGACAGTCGGCATTTCAGAAACAGGACTAGGAGTGATGGCATTTTTTTAAAAAAATCAACATGTATTTCTAACTCTCCTTGTCTGTACATTTCTGTTATTAAGAATGGAAACTGCTTTGGGCAGAAGATGATCATCAGCAGGTCCTTCCAGACCTACTTACAAATTTTTTTTTTTTTAAAATCCAAATCTAGATCCATCAGCATGTGTATAATAATTAATATTAAAACTGATCTGTTGTCACTATAGTTGTACATTGCCTAACACAATGGGGCTCCAACCTGGCTGAGGCCTCTAGGTGCGACTGAAATTCATGGAGGTTAAGTCCATTAATGGCTATTAGCCAGGGTGGGTAAGGAATGGTGTCCCTAGCCTCTGTTTGTCAGAGGGTGGAGATGAATGGCAGGAGAGAGATCACTAGATCATTACCTGTTAGGTTCACTCCCTCTGGGGCACCTGGCATTGGCCGCTGTCAGTAGACAGGATACTGGGTTGGATGGACCTTTGGTCTGACCCAGTGTGGCCACTCTTGTGTTCTTATGAAACAGTTTCATAGTAATGGCCTACATATGTTTAAGGAGATAGCCAGGCCATTATTTTTAAAGTAAACCTGCATTCGTGCCTAACAGGGCTAACTAGGCGGTGGGTCCCCATTGTTCCATGCAAACATATGGCAGCAGCTCATTTCTTTCGTTTGACAGCTAGACACCCACACAGAGAGAGGCCAGAAGACAGATTTAAGTTTAGCTGGATCTAGTCCAAGATCAATGTATGCAGAAGACTGTCCTAGCTGAAGCTGAAATATTTAGCTTTAAACAAAACACAGCTTTTCTCCAAAGAAAAGGTAAGTTGTATCCAATTTCCTTAGGTTTTGGTAAACAGGCATAAACAGGAAGTGTCTTATGGACAAATACATGAAAACACACAGGGAAAAGCAGCTTTTGAGAACTGGAGAAGAATGTCAGGAGCTGGAAAACTACCAAACCAAAAGACTTTTGTTTTTATGACAGTGTACTGTTTACCAGCCATTGAGACTCTGTAGTTTGAAATACTTTCCACATACCTTATCTTGAAGCTCTGAAGTTACCTTAACAGATTTTTTTGTATCCTTGGCTCTCTTTCCTTTAGGCTTAGGGATGCTGAAAAGACAAGACAGTTTAAGATTTCAGATTACCTTTGTCACACTGAACCAAGTTTTTCAGTGAACACATTCAGCAGGATTGATAGTTTTAAATTACTAAGGCTTTTAAATCTCATGGTCCACTGACTTCAATAGGTACTGGACTGGGACCTAAATGGGCCAAAAAGTTAATTTATTTTTTTAAAATAAAATTTGCACAAACTACCATTTAAGGCATTTTCAGTTCAGTTTTTTGGTCACCATTAATTTCTGCTTAATAAATAGTCTTTTGTGAGTGATTCACTACTTTGAGGGTTCCCTCCCACCTTGTGCAGTTATTCTAATGGAAGTGACTGCTGTAGTTAAAAGTGCATACTGTTCTCCATTCTAACCCATTTCAGACCATTGGAATGTTCTGAAACTTTTGCCTGTGGGACTGAAATATATATTCCAGGCTTGGCATTTGTCCAAAAGTGAATTTTATTGTATTCATAAGCACAAGTTCTGAGCAAAATTGATTCAACTGTTTGAGAACAAGTTGGGGAAATAAAATGTACTTTACCCCATTACAATTCTGTTAGATTTTTTTTTTAATGCTGACCAGTTAAAGTGCTGAAACAGCTGGAGTTAGGCATTAGACCTGGAAGCAGCCTGCACAGAGGAGACATGCCGTTTTGAGTGTTTTGGTTGGGGCAAAAAAGCACATGCACAGGGCCTTACAGGTTTACTGGGAAAGGGAGCACAAGGCAAGCAAATATACTTAACTTTGCTTTGCAATGAAAATGTAAGGAAGGTGAAGCAGCAGTTGTCGCATTCATGTCACTTCCTTAAAGCTGAAGAATAAGTGAGGTAAGGACTCCACAATGCTTAGTGCATAACTAAGGCTACATTTTAGTCATGGGTATTTTTAGTAAAACTCATGTACAGGTCACGGGCAGTAAACAAAAATTCCACTGTTTGTGACCTGTCCAGAACTTTTACTATATACCCCTGACTAAAACTTGGGCCAGGGGGTGATCTGGGGCATCACGGGTGCTGGTCCCATAGTGATGGCAGGGAGGCAGGCAGTGGCCCAGAACCCCCACACGGTAGTGGCGCACGGCCCCGGACCCCTGCTCGTGCTGGGGAGGGTTGGCGGGGCTGGCAGTCTCCCTTCCTCCCTCCGCATATCCTTGCAGCTCCAAGCAGTAGGGAAGGCCAGAAGTGCTCTGTGTGCTGCCCCTGCCACAAGCTCTGGCTATGCAGCTCCCCTTGGCCGGGAACCATAGCCAATGCGAGCTGCGAGGGTGGTGCCTGTGGGCAGGGTCAGTGAGCAGATCCCACTGGCCCCTCTGCCTAGAAGCTGCAGGGACATGCCAGCAACTCCTTACCCCTCCTATACCCAAACTGCCCCAGCAGCTGCTTGATCTCAGGCAGCCCTGGAGCCAGCCATAGCGGGTGCTGCAAATGTCACACAATCTGTGACACATGTGCAGCTTTATGCATAACTTTCAACACAGCTTCACAGGAATGTCTTCCTGCTGCTAAACTGTTTGCATAAAATTTTCCATATAAGTGTCCGCACATCACAGTACTCAAAGACACGAGAACTGGCAAAAGTGGTGTTTAACTGTGCAGTATCTTGAATAAAGGGTCACTTTCCACCGTGGAAGGAGGTAAATAGCAGATCCCCCAAGGCTCTGTAATGGGACCAGTGCTGTTCAACATATTAATAAATGATCTGGAAAAGGAGGTGAATAGTGAGGTGGAAAAAGTTGCAGATGATACAAAATTACTCGAGAGTTAAATACAAATCTTAATGTGAAGGTTTACAAAGGGTCCTCACTAAACTGGGTGATAAAATGACAGATGAAATTCAGCATTGATAAATGCAAAGTAATGCACATTGGAAAACATAATCCCAACTTTACATACAGAATGGTGGGGTCTAAATTAGCTGTTCCACTCAAAGAGATCTTGAAGTTATCATGGATAGTTCTCTTAAAACATCTGCTCAATGTGCAGCGGCAGTCTAAAAAGCTAACGAATGTTAGGAACTGTTAGGAAACAAATGATATAGAAATATATGATGGCACTACTCCAACATGTTCAATACTGTGTGCAGTTGTGGTTACCCTATCTTAAAAAAGATGCATTAGAACTGGAAAATGTACAAAAAAGGGCAACAAAAATTATTAGGGGTATTGAACATCTTCCATATGAGGACAGATTAAGAAAACTGGGACTGTTCAGCTTCAAAAAAGAGGCAAGTAAGGGGGGATATGACAGTCTACAAAATCATGAATAGTGTGGAGAAAGTGAATAAGGAAGTCTTATTTACCCCTTCACATAACACAAGAACTAGGGGTCACCCAATATTAATAGGCAGAAGGTTTAAAACAAACAAAAGGAAGTACTTCTTCACACAGTAGTCAACCAGGGGATTTTGTAGCCAGCAGATATTGTGAAGGCCAAAAGTATAACTGGATTAAAAAAAGAACTAGGTAAATTCATGGAGAATAGGTCCATCAATAGTTATTAGCCAAGATGGTCACGGACGAACCCTGGGTATCCCAAAGCCTCTGACTGCCAGAAGCTGGTACTGGACAAGAGGGGATCGATAACTCAATTGCCCTATTCCATTGATTCCCTCTGAAGTAACTGGCACTGGCCACCATCAGAAGACGGGATACGGGGATAGATGGACCATTGGTCTAACCCAGTGTGGCCATTCTTATGTTAAATAGTTACTACTGATGGAATATTTCATGTAAGTTACTATTTAAAATGCATAAATGTATGATTTGTACAGTTTTTCCACTAAGCTTGTTTTTTAAACATTTAAAACTTTTGTTCCACTTGCTCCAGCCAAAAACTAAGACAGTAAACAGAGTTCTAATTTTACAGGAGGAGTCAAAAATGAGTACTTTAGTATAAACAAAATTGCTGCCTGTAACCAACTGCAGTGGTTCTCAACCAGGAGTACATGTACCCCCTGGGGGTACGCAGAGGTCTTTCGGGGATACATCAAGTCACCTAGATATTTGCCTAGTTTTACCACCAGGCTACATAAAAAACACTAGCAAAGTCAGTACAAACTAAAACTGCATACTTGTTTATTCTCTATATATTATACACTGAAATGTAAGTACAATATTTATATTCCAATCGATTTATTTTATAATCATATGGTAAAAATGAGAAAGTAAGCAAATTTTTCAGTAACTGTGCCGTGATTCTTTTGTATTTTTATATCTGATTTTGGAAGCAAGTAGTTTTTAAGTGAGGTGAAACTTGGGGTATGCAAGCCAAATCAGATTCCTGAAAGGGGTACAGTAGTCTGGAAAGGCTGAGAACTACTGCCTTACTGTGGTGACATTTTGGATAACTATGAAGAATATCGTTATAATTAATGCCCAGAACCACTCATCAAGTTGCTACACAGTTAATAGAATGAGGTTTTTAAAGGCACAAACATGAGTTAAGTGCCTAACTCCCAGTTGTGCCCCTGCCACTTTCCCCTGTAAAGACATTATAAAATCCAGTTGTTAACAGCAAAACAAAGAAATATTATTTACAAGATTACCATGTTTGTTAACAAGGAGGTTTGTCTGGATACTGGTTGTTAAGTGTGGGGTATTTATTTGCAATCTAAACCCAATGCCAAGTTAGGAACCAATTCTAATTTATACCAGTTTTACTCTGCCATAACTCAAATTCAATGGAGTAGCTTTCAGTTTATACTGGTGAGAAAATTCAGGCCTTTAAAACATGGACTATTAAATTAAAGAATGCAACGAAGTGATGCTGTTACCTTTTTGCTTCGCCTTTTGGTTCATTAACTTCATCTACAGCTTCTGCAGCACTTGCTTTTTCAGAAGCAGTATTTCTTTGGCCAACATTTTCCAATTCTTCTGTTATGCTGTCCTCCCGGTCTGCACTGTCAGCTTCTTTTTGTTCAACTGTAGCATCCACTGTAGCGTCTTCATACGTCTGTCCAAAGAAAAAATGTGTATTTATTGCTCCGAGATAATTAGCTGGCAACTGTGTGTACAGTAATTGCAGATTTAACAATTAAACAATTTGCCTCAACGAAAATCTAGCATGTCTGTTTTTACACTGATGTTTTGCGAGAGACGCAGTGAGGTGAAAAGACCTGAAGTTTTGGCTGTGACATTTTGAGAAAGAATCAGCCTGTGATGAAGAGAAGAGAGCCAAAGAGTCTTTATCAAAGGTCTAAGAGGTACAGCTCAGACTCTGCCGGAACCCACAGCACATAGCCATTAAGGCATAAAGAAGGGAGGATGGAATGATCTTGTCCCTTCCAACCCTGATATTCTAGGATTCTATACATCGAAACAGCTAAATTTTTTTTTTGGTAATTTTTTTATTAGGTGATTCTATCAGGACCATTATTAAAGTTGCCTGATAAGCAACTGAAAACAAGGTTTTCTAATGGGAAGTATGACTGCCAAACTTAAGCATTCGGGCTGAAATTTTCCATGCCAGGTGTTTGCCTCAGGAAAATTTCAGCCAAAACATTGACAGGTTTCAGAGGAACAGCCGTGTTAGTCTGTATTCGCAAAAAGAAAAGGAGTACTTGTGGCACCTTAGAGACTAACCAATTTATTTGAGCATGAGCTTTCGTGAGCTACAGCTCACTTCATCAGATGTTTACCGTGGAAACTGCAGCAGACTTTATATACACACAGAAATCATGAAACAATACCTCCTCCCACCCCACTGTCCTGCTGGTAATAGCTTATCTAAAGTGATCAACAGGTGGGCCATTTCCAGCACAAATCCAGGTTTTCTCACCCTCCACCCCCCCACACAAATTCACTCTCCTGCTGGTGCTAGCCCATCCAAAGTGACAACTCTTTACATAATCAAGTCGGGCTATTTCCTGCATAGATCCAGGTTTTCTCACATCCCCCCCACCCCCATACACACACAAACTCACTCTCCTGCTGGTAATAGCTCATCTAAACTGACCACTCTCCAAGTTTAAATCCAAGTTAAACCAGAACATGGGGGGGGGGGTAGGAAAAAACAAGAGGAAACAGGCTACCTTGCATAATGACTTAGCCACTCCCAGTCTCTATTTAAGCCTAAATTAATAGTATCCAATTTAGCCAAAACATTGCAACTGTTACCCAGATCAACAAGGGTCAAGGAGATCTGAGGCAACCAGATAGAAGATTTTCTCAACCTTCTAAACACTGAAAGGGTAACAATTAGAATTGTGTTGGATGGAAGTGGGGTGCTGGGAGAAGAGAGAAGGAGAATCAATACATTAGTTACTTTACTAAACTCAGACAAAGTAAACTAGAGCTACAAGAGAACCTCACTAATCTGCACTGATGTGGAAAGGCCCAGTACAGATTACTGAATTTTGTGGATTACTGAGTGCTGTTTGCAAGGTTAGTGCACAGTACTATGCTTCTCTTGGGGCCAGTGGATTAGCAGCAATTCACTTCTGGCACTCCGAACTGCCTCTCTCAATCTTAAAAATAGAAGATTATATATTGGACAATAGTTGGCCATATTGTCAGAGTTGAGTGATGGTTTTCTGAACAACACGCATCCAACAGTTTCCTGAATGGAAGGCAGCAACTTGTTCTAATTGAGAGAAAGGATGGTCCGGTGGTTAGGGCATTAGACTAGGATTTACGATATCTGAGTTCAGTTCCCTACACTGCCACAGACTTACCGTGTAACCATGGGCAAGCCACATCGAAAACCGCAGCGCAGACAGGCTGTCTGTCAAATGGGACTAATAGCACTGCCCTACCTCACAGGGGTGTTGGCAGGATAAATGCACCGAAGATTGTGAAGTGCTCAGATACTAGAATAATGGGGGTTATACAAGTACCTAAGTTAAAACAGATATGGATTCAGAGTGTCTTTGAAATCAATGGACTCATTGAGAAATACACCAGTCGATTAGATGTAATAAATTTAACAGCTTTTCCCAGTCTCTTGAATTCCTAATTCCCTCAGTTTTTTGAGGCTACTGGAAAGCTAGGTCATAAGACCACAGAAATAGCTAACCAAGTCTTACATAGTTTCCTTAGATTTTCAACAGAGCCACAGAAAGATTTTGCATAAACTCCATACCGTCATCATTTTATGTTTCTTTTTCTTCTTCTTGGAGAGTCTGTAAAGGTAAAAGTTGAATGCATTTTTAGATTCTAAAATATAATATTGGCAAAGGTCAAAAACCAATAATTCTATGCTACATTTTAAGTAATAGTGGTTCTGATCTCACTTGTATCACAAATGCAACAAGAAGTCATAGCTAGGAAAACAACACTCTCAAGAGTCCTGAAGTGAAAACAGTTCGCTGTTTTGTGCACTGTTTAGGGTATTTAGTGACATCTCTATAGATTTCTTGCTCAAACTGAATCTGAAAACCCTGATCCTTAATGACTGGACATTCAGAAACCAGCTTAATCATAAACATAGTACAGCTTTTAAAAATATGCTATATCTTGCATAAACTAGCTTCCAATTAACTGAAGCAAACAAGTTTTCTAGGCTAGTCATAATGCCTGACAGACAACGCTGTACCTACACAACCAACACTCTGTCTGGAACAAGGTCTCCTCCTTCAAAATATTAACATCTTTGCTTTGCCTTGACATTTACTTTCTATAAAGCCAGAAGATAAGTAGTGGGAGATCATTGTCCTACAACAGTCTATTCCAATGATATAATTAAAAATCTACTTTTTTGTTGGGACTTTGGTGCAAACAGCTATTTTAACAAATCGTGCAGTACAATTAAATAAGTCCTGATGTGATCATATGCCTATCCCAGGGCCTTATTTCAGAGCCTCATAAAGACCACTATTATGTATCCTAACTTTAACAAATGCTATAGTAAGTGTAAGCAATCTATTTTTAAGGTACTTCTGTTTGGGTGTTTCTTCCATTTCTTCATCTTCTTTGGTATTCACTCCATTTTTGTCATCTGTAGATACAGAAAATTCCTCCTCCTCCTCCTCCAGCTGTTGCCGTAACAGCGCTACCATCTCTCGGTGCTTCTTTGACTTTTCATGGTTCTTCATTCTATGAAGAGCAGTAGATAATTACTAGATTCTATGAATCGTGCAATTGTTTCTCTAAGCAAATTTTGTTTCATTTACATATAAAGGTCTCTGATCAATGACAATGGTTAATTCCTTTCAGCGTTCAGAGTAGGAAATTCTAATATAAAAATACCTACTTGAATGAAAAGGGGTTGAGCCTTTCAAAGCCACCTAGAACATGTGGATGCCCAAATGCCATTACAAAGGATTAACTTTAATGGATACTGGGTGCCCAGATAACCTAGGTGAATCTGAAAGTGTCCAAGCTTTTCAAAGAAACAAAAAACTTACGCTTTCTCAGTCTTCAAGGATTTGTCACAAGCAGGGCAGTACAAGTCATCATAAAATTCAGCATCTTCAGCTTCATCACTCAGTTTATCTGAAAAGGGAAGGGGAAGGAAATTGGCTCAGTGATTCTTAGGAGATACTGAGTAATTAAAGACACAACAATGCCCATTCAAGCCCTTTAGGATTACTGAAGTGTGCAGAGTGATAAGAACTCTTTCCCTAAATAATTTGTTCCTTCCCCGCAAAACTACAAATAAGCATCTATTACTAACATGAAGATAAGTGTTCAAAAGGAGAACAGAACACTATGGGACTAAACTTTTTCCTTAAATATCTCAATTGAAGTGAGTGATGTATGCCAGCAGCAAATCCAGACTTAAGCCTTGAGGATTTAAATGCAGCAGTATGATTATGTACATACAAATATGGAACAACTGCAAGGTCTTTTTATAGGTATCAAATCAAAGATATATTAACAGACCCTTACCATCTATTTCTTCTCTTGGCTCCTGTTCCTCTTTTTCCTCTTCATCATCAGATCCATCTCCAAATTCCTTTTCATACTGTGCTTCCATCTGCTGCAATTCTCTCTCTAGATCAGACATAGTTATCCAGCTCTGCTCTTTATATTGCTCACCAAGCCTTTAAGCAGAATACAACAACTTTTTATATTCCAGAAAATTAAGTGGTAACAGTATTTTATTTAAGGGTCATTATTTGGTCATGTTCACTTATTTAAAAAGAAGGAAACCCCCTAGCTGTCTTGTCTCAACGAAATGCAACACACACCAGTAACTACAGTTTCTTTGTAGGGACTGGAAAACTGAGCCAATACGGTCTGATTTATATAACTACTGTACAATTACTCCTCAACAGCTGTACTTCAGCTATTCAGATCTTCACTCCAATTGCCTCCTGCACTCAATTTTCAAGCTCTTTGCCCGCAGCAAAACCACCACTTGGGCTTCATTACCTTCAGTGGAAAACAAAAATCCACTCTATTAAAAACATCCAAAAACAATGAAAGTGGGCCTCTGGATTTTCTGGAAAGAAGAGTGGTTAAATATTTAAGCTCCTTTCTCTGCCTCTTTCCAGATCGGCAAGGCTTTTATGCCAAGAATATATTTTGCGTTTACAGTGAGAGAATCCCAGCCCCCTGCTCCTCATTCACTCTTGAAATATAAAGAAAATATATTGCACTTAGCCCAGGGACAGTATTTCTTTCTGAGCTGTGGGGAGCGAAAGACAAAAGTGAGAGAGAAAGGTCAGGAATGAAGGGCAAAAAGGCTTTTTCCCCTTCCCCAAATTTACCTTCTAGCAGTTTGAGTTTAACAGCTCATTCTTTTATGCAAGTTTGTTCCTTTCATTTAAAATGAATATCAAAAATTTTAGTTAACGTGCAGATATTCGGTGTTGATACAAATCATCACAGGCTAATAAACGCCTCATCTTCAGAGGTATAGATTACTACCGAATGAGAAGCACCTTTCCTCTCAAGTTAAATCAACCGCTAATCAGTCCTGTACATTGTTTCCACAGCTAAAATTTACCATGTTCTAAAGTGTTCCCAAAGTTTAAGAAACAAATTGGGGTATGAAGTTTATATTGTGCGATATTCTTGGCATGATGGTAAGCTAGTTAGTAAATTTGTCATAAAACAACACTACTAAGCAGTTGGGCAAGTGTAGCTTTTAAGTGGTCTTAAAGTATAGTCCCATGCAAAGCACATTGAATTCTAGATTAGATTACTGAAAAGGTACAGGTCACACAGCCAAAGTCCAAATCCGAGGAAAATGGTTGCAAACATCAATCAAACAGATGAAAAAAAGGCTTTTAATCACCAATGCCATGACGGATACAAAATGTCCCTCAACTGTAATACTCTGTGATAAAGGAACGACAGATCCCCTTAAAAAGTAACAGAACTCTCACCACCACCCGCTTCACTTATCCTCAGCATCCTTCTGCCAACCTGCTACCTCTGTCTTGTGGATTATCTGACATTGAAGACTTTAGCAACAATAAAATACTGATTATTAAAACTTATTTCATATTTCTTTACTACCCACAAGGTGTTGGGTACAAGGAGGACTGTCTCTGCCATGAGCAGCTCAGTCTTCAAATCTCAGACTTAAGGACAAAAGTTAGAAATGCCAACATTTACTCTTTAAAACAACGTAAGCTGCAGGTGGTAAAAATATGACTCAATATGAATCTCCCATGATTATTTCTCAGTTTCAAAAATGCTTCCTTCAATATTTACATACTTAGCTTGTTTGAGTTTTTGCTGTCTCCGGAGCTCCTCTGCTTTTCTAGCTTTTTCTGCATTCTGTTCCTCTATGAGTTTTCTGTGTGCCTGTACTCTCTTATCTCTTTTACGAATAAAAGCCACTAGCTGACGAACCAGTTCACTCCTCTCCTTTCTTGCTTTGTCTCTAGTTTTCTTGTTCTCTTTCTCCATAGCTCGTTTCTCCCAACGGTTTGATGCCTGCCGTGTGTCATACTCCTCTTTCCAAGCAAAGTTCTTTTGAGTACAGAAACTCTGCCAGTAAGCATAAAAAGGATGGACTACCTGTTGGAAAAAAGGGAATTGGCAAAAGTTGTAAGACATCATATTGAAAAAAAGCAACCAAAGACTATTTAGATTTTCATAGATATACAAAAAGAAAAGGAGGACTTGTGGCACCTCAGAGACTAACAAATTTATCTGAGCATAAGCTTTCGTGAGCTACAGCTCACTTCTCACGAAAGCTTATGCTCAGATAAATTTGTTAGTCTCTAAGGTGCCACAAGTACTCCTTTTCTTTTTGCGAATACAAACTAACACAGCTGCTACTCTGAAACCTGTCATTATGCATAGATATACAAACTCCAAAGCCAGAAGGGACCCTTATCTCATTTGACTTCCTGTATACACAACCCATATAATTTTTTCCAGAAGCTGGATTAAAGCAGGTCTTTTAGATGGATATCTAATCTCATTTTAAAGACTCCAAGTGGTGCTGAATACACCACTTCTCACGGTAAACTGTTCCATTGTTTAACTACCCTCACTGGTAGAAAATTGCATCTACGGCCCCCACTAATCAGATATCTTGTGTGTGTGTATATACCTATACACAGTGATCAAGTCACCTCTCACGTTCTCTTAATGTAAAGAGATTGAGTTTCTTAAGCTTCACATCGTAAGGCTTTCTTTTTTTTTTTCTTTTCTCCAAACCCTGGATCATTGTTGTAGTTCTCTTTTGAACGCTCTCTGGTATTTACACACGCTTGAAACACAGACACCAACACTGGACATAGTATCCTACTACTGGCCTTACCACCACCACTATGTAGAAAAGCAAGATTATTCCCTATTCCCCTTTTTATATATCCAAGGATCACACTAGCCCTTTTAGCCTCTGCATTTCTGAGTGACTGCTGTCCAAGACGGTTTCCCACCCTGTTGGTGTAAACTGCACTCTTGTTCCCTGGTGTGTTATCTTGCATTTAGCTGAATTAAAATGTATTTTGTTTGATTGTGGACCATTTAAGCAGGTGATTCAGATGACTCCATAACAGTCATCAATCTTCATCGCTACTTATTACCCGACCAATCTGTGTCATCTGCAAATGTAACCAGCAAAGATTTCATATCTAAATTGTTGATAAAAATATTGAATAGCACTGAACCAAGAACTGATCCTTGAGGGACTCTGCTAGAAAACTGCATCACTCATTGATGTCTCCCCACTAACAAGTACATTTTGAGATCTGTCAATGAGCCAATTTTTAATCCATCTCTAATGTATGCCATTAGTTCCATATGCAAGTTTTTAAATCCAGATGTCATGCCTTAGTAAGAAATATCTTGGATTTCTCCATGTGGAAAAAGATTTAAAATTTTACTGAAGCCGAGTTCATATGAAGTGAATTTTAAAAAGCTGCCATTGGCCTGTGATATCAGTAAGGGGGTAGGTCTTTGGCCTAACAAGGGATAAGATGGTAGTAAAACCCCTCTTCACTGTTACAATAGTAACCAGTTAAGCATCATCCAGGTTTTCCTGTAAAGATACTATTGGCAACTCCCACTGTAACTACCACCATTAAAAAAAGTCTTTTTATCCATTTAAGGAGATGGAAAAAACAAAAAACAGAAAACCTCCCACAGTTTAAGCATCTGAAATGAAAAATCACTAAGCCTTTTATTGTGGCAATATCCAATATTCCTCTTCCCTCAAGAGAGTTATTTAAGTGGGGCTTTTCCCTATGACAGTCTTAGATGGTATTCACTGCCCTTTCTGGAGGTAGCAAGAAGAGGTTAGTTTAAATGCTCTTGAATTGTTGCTGCTGCTTTTGGAAGACCAATGCTGTTTCCTCTTTTAAGACAAAAGACTCACATGGGGAGAGAGAAAAATAGCAAATATAAAAAATATAGCTTGTCTCAGGTGCTGATTTTCACTTGCAACCGTGCTGATGGAGAAACACAGACCTAGCACATGGTCTTATTAGCCACTCTTATTAGCTAACTCATACCAGCTTTGGGCTGTTTAAGACCTTGCTTTTAGCTGGTCTCTCCGGCCACAGGTTCACAGAAGTGTTGAGAAAGCTGGCCAAGACTGCACCTAAGTCCAACTCTCAGAAAACAGAAGGTAGAGATAGATAGGAAAGAGGAGAAATAAGGCGGAGGACAGCGACAGAGGAATGGGGTGACAACAGGCACCCAAAGTTCACACTCCAGGTTCACACCAGCTTTAGCCAAGGCTGCTGAAAGCGACATATCACCTGGTTCCATCTTTCTGGCCCAATCTGGTCAGAATGCCTTTCAGGATCAGGATGAAGGCCCAACAATGTCATGATGGATCTCAAGGTCCCAGGAAATTGTAGCACTGGCAGTCAATGTTAAAAATTGTTTGCTTTAATCCATGGCTCCCACAGTTTCCATTTAGTGACCCCAGATAAACAAGGTCAAAGATGATGTGTCAACCTCATTCCATCAAAACATTTTGGTGATTCATCCATAAACATTTCCTCCCATTTCTACAATTTTCAGCTCATCATGCCAACCCATGACTTTACTCACAGCCTTGAAGGCCCCTTATCACAGTCCAGTTTGTAACAGACTATTTGTCTCCAACTTCTACTGACTTTCATAAACAATTTTCTCTAATAGTCTGTGTTAGGACTTTGATTATCTTGGGCAATTTAGAGTACATGTCTCTGAACAGGCGGCTAGAAGGTACATCAGTATACACAGTGAAAATAGTGTTACTGAAAATCACACTTCACTGGAGTATTTTGTCCTTGTTTTCATACTAATTTTCATCGGATTTGTACAAAATATGTACAAATTACTCGACTGATTAAAAGTATAATATTTAAATTTTAAGAGGAAGTATTACAAAGAGGTAAAAGCAAGAAGGAACAGGGTAGAATATGTATTTAGGGCCAGTGCTCTTAAGTGCTTATATAGGGAGTTGATTGCCAGTTTACTGCTTTAATGCAGCATAAACATGCTAGTAGGTTCTGGGAAGAATTTTACAAAGGGAAATTTTCAGTTGTTACAGATAGTTGGCATGGCAGAATGAAAGGATCAGCCTCTGGGAGAGGAAGTGAGAAATGACAGAACAGCTGGAGTATTATGGAAATATAAAGCGGGGGTATCACCATGAAAAGCCTTAGATGGCAGGAGAGTTCAGTAGAAGTCACAATTGTTGGTTATCCACTATCTCTTGGGTATTTTATGTTATGCAGTCAGCAAGTTTTATTTTTGTTATTGTGGTTTAACAAAAAGGAAAAATTATAAAAGAGACCGTATTTTGTATTAATAAATAGTTACCACATCTTCAGGTATTCCTTGCTGTAATACATAGCATTTCAGAACACTGGCAAGGCTGGTTTCAATCAGACATCAAGAATTAAATCTATCTTTTTATTTCTTAAGCCTAGTTTACACCTTTAAATGTTACTGCTATAACTAAGCCAGTAATGGGTATGATTTTTTAACCAACATAAATATGCCAGTATAAGGAGCTTTTTTCCAGTGTATTCTATTTCACATCACTGAACAGGAATAAATTATACTGATACAAGCACTTTTATACTGGTATAACTGCATCTACACTAGGGGTTTTGACACTTAACTATGTCAGTATAGGTACATTGGCGAAAGGTTTAAGTATACACAAGGCATTAAATAAGAGCTTTTGGTAGGGCAGGGAAGGCTTTATGTACACATTGGGCCAGATTCAACTCTCAATAAATGTCAATGGGAGCCTTTCTTCTGATTTCAAATGGAAATGGATTAAGCCCCAATTCCTAGAGATATTACGGTGTAACAAATAGTTTAGACTTCTAAACATTATATATCTTACCTTATCATAATCACTTTGAGAGTATCCAAAAGTAGGGAATTCTTCAATATCTTCCTGAGATATATATTCCATCTCTTCCTTTGCAATATTTTCAAAAACTTGACGATAGACTGCAAAGAACCCCTGAAATACACACCATTGTTACTGAGGAATTAATTGTATGCCTATGCAACTAAAGAATTAAAATGATCAACTTCAGAGAAAGATCACTATTTAAATTCTACAGTAACAGTTTTAAGTCAAAATAAAGACTTTGTATACCAAAATAAGTGATTACGCCAGGCTCTAGGAGCCCTTCCAATTTTTAAAATTTAAAAAAAAAAAATCATAATCAACTAATACAAATATTGGGTCCATTGTGACCCAGGCAGTTGTGTTGGACTAGAGAATTCCAAAAACACGAACTGTCTACCAGCAGTTCCATTATTATAAATTAAGGGTGTTCCAGCTCACTGCAGCTATGGCAGTACCACAGGGAGATGGTCAATCTCTCAGGCAGGCATGTTCCAAACCATTTAGGCCTTTTTAGATCAATATCAACACCTTAAACTCCACCTGGAAGTTAAATGGCAGCAAGTGCATACCCCAGATCACTGGCATAATGCTGCTTTTTATATCCTAAAGCATTCCGACTTGTGAAACATCTCAGCATAATAGGATTGCCCAGTGAAAGCGAAGCGCCTGGGGATGTATTATATGTAAAGTGTTGTTATATAATTGTACAGCAATATTGATTAAGGGGACATTTAAAACTGACTAAATATCCAATGTATGTTTTCCTCCCCCACCCCCTTTTTTAAAGTTTACCGTAAACATTTTTCTACTTATGTTCAGTAATTTTAAGAATGGTGTATCAATGCACCAATTTACTTCCATCGCTTTTTTTTTTTTTTTTTAAGTTTTAACTTGACTCAGTAGAGAATCAGTTCATTACCTCTTCATCATCACCATATCCAGAGTAACAGTTAACAGTGAAGTAGCGCAGCAGATCCAAACTGTCATCTTGATACTCTCCATCAACCCCTCCTTTCAGCAGAGCTTCCCTGTGGTTATCATACCTAGCAGAAAACAGCACCAAGAACACACATAACTTAAGACAATCACAGAGATGAAAACCCAAGGTAGTGGGGGGACCTTCCAGTTGTTCATGGAATACCTATTACTTTTACTGTAATTCTTTTGGGAGAAAATTATCTAACATGTTTGAATAAGATGTTTCTTAAGGATTCCAAGAACGTGAATTACAGGTTCTACAGATCTCTAAACACATTCTCCAGGCCCTCCCCACTTTTATGCTAGTGTATGCCATTTGTTCTTTTAGTACGTGAAAAAGTGGAAATAGTGCTTCCTGAAAAAGTAGCTAAACATATGAAGCAAGCAGCTCATAGTTATCCAAGGAGGGAAAAAAGGGTGCATGCAACTATAAACCTGGGACACTCATACCTGAGAGAGAACCAGAAGCAAAAGCTATTTAAAAACACAACAAATCGATCAAGGAACACAGTTTTTAAAAGGTGATTTCAAGTGTTCTTTGTTACAAGAATACAACTAATGTGTTCTGTAGCTGTAAACCTGGGACCTAACAGTTGTATACATCATTACTAGTGAGAGGAAACTCATCTGGCTGTTATCCTCTAAAATCTCAGTCCAGACTACCAACACAAGGAAATCACAAATGATTTCAATGGGAGTCCTGCCTAAAACAGGAATGCAGAATCAGGCCCTTTCTTAGATTGTCTTTTCTGCCCCACTGGCAGACAAATATTACCTACCAAGCTCTTTCTTGAGGATCACTCAGTACATCATATGCCGCTTGGATTAATTTGAACTGTTCTGCTGCTTCATCAGCATTTTCTAGATTTTTGTCTGCAATAGAAGTCATTACAATTAAACCATAAAAATCATAGCAATAGCCGGGGCTCATGTCACAAAGTAATTATTTAGGAAATCAGACAAATGAAGAAAAAAAGTCAATTCAGAAGGACAACTCAAGGCCCTTATTGAATGTATTGGGTACACCACAACTGACTAAAATACAACTGCTGATCCGGCTTCATCATTCATTAATGTTTCTCCTTCAACCATCTCTCTGCCAAATTAACAGCCACATTAAGAACAAGTCTGGAGAATTAATATTTAAGTATAACTTGAAGTGATACTGCTGCACATAAACAAACAGTTAAAGGAACAATGTCAATTTCAATAAGAATTACAAAATAGTTTCAGATACTACACCTGTCTCTGAGTCTTCTTGACAACTTTTGTGGTTTTAGAATAAAGTTTTCCTATTTAAAAAGAAAGTTTACTCTTCCCTGTAACAGGCTGACATAACCATGCAAACAAGGGAAACTGACTATCCATAAAGTGACACTGAGCGCACAACGCAAACAGGAAAAATACAAAAGATATTTTGAAAAGTCATCCTATGTGCTGTCTGGAAGGAATTACTCCACAGGTCAGACTGGCAATGACCTTGGGGAGATTTTGCCTTCCTCTGCAGCATGGGACACTTGCCAATATAATCTAGATGTATCTCACTTAATCAATTCCCTGTCATTGCAGAGGCCTTGGATACTGGCACACCTTGGTCCCTCTTATTCTCTGCCTGTGGCACATAACAGTCTAGTCTCCTGGGGACTGTACTACTGTGGTTCAATTTCGGCTGCTGGGGTTAGTGTGCAGGTGCACGGTGGTGGCCTGTGATATACAGGAGATCAGTGTAGATCTGGGGGCCTCTTCCGGCCTTAACCTCCGTGACTTGCGATGCTACCTGTACGCCCGCTAGGTACCGAGCTAGGGAGTCTTTCAGGGCGAGGCTGGCCCTCTAAAGCAGCGATGAAGGGGAAGGGGCCCGGGAAGCCCGTGTCCTCCCTGCCCACACGCTTACTAACGCTCTTCCAAGAGCATGAGGGGGCAGCAGGAAACCAGGGGAAACGTGGCTGGCGGGTGAGCCAGGAGACGTACCCGTGAGATGGTAGCACTCCGCCGGGCGCCCCGCCCCGAACCCACATACCTGAGCGATGCCTCAAGCGGGGGGGGGGAGGGTGGCAATGCGCGGCCTCAACAGCCCGGCCAGGCGACGGGAACCCCGGGCTCGGCCAATGGGACACGGGAGCCGGGCCGGGCCCGGCGCGGGGAAAGGGGCGGCCCGGCCTGGAGGAGCGAGCCACGGCGGCCCCGAGCCCGGCGTACCTGGGTGCCAGCGCAGCGCCAGTCTCCGGTACGCCCGCTTCAGCTCCTCGTCGGAGGCGTCGCGCGCCAGCCCCAGAACCTCGTAGTGACACTTCATCGCGGCGCGCGGAACCCGAGGAGCCGCCTCGGCTCCGCGCGACGGGGACGCCAGCCGGCCTTGCCGCCGGCAGCGCACAGGGCGGGGCTGGAAGGAGCGCACAGGCCATAAAGAGACTAGGCCACCACCCGGGGGGGGGCGTGGCCAGGAGGGAGCTGTCCAGGGGCGGGGCCACAGGGGCAGGGGTGGGGCCACGGGAGACCTTTTAACCGGGGCGGGCCGGGGTGGAATGTTACGTAGTGGGTGGGAGGCCGTTGGGGGGATGGAATGTTAGGAGGATGAAGGTTCTTGGCGGGTAGAAGCCTTTTGGTAGGGCGGCATGTCAGGGGGGAGACAGTTCCCTGGCAGTCGGCTAATAGAGATTGGGCCCTGGCAGAGGGTGACCAAATGCCCTGATTTTACAGGGGCACCCCTAATATTTGGGGCTTTGTCTTATACAGGTGCCTTTTACCCCCCACCCGTCTCCTGGCTGGATTTTTAGTAAAAGGTTAAAACCAAAAGGTATGGAATGTCCTACAGCTTGGGGCTGTTTGTCCTGTCACCCACCTCTAATTAACTTGTACTAGAAACTGGGTGTTCTCTAATTGCCTATTGCAGGTTTATTTTCACCTTCTTTAAGGGTAGCTGGTATTGGCCTGCCACTGTTAAAGATATTGCACTAGTCACACTCTGTAGTCCTTTTTTTAAGAATGGTATCAGAAAACTAAGTGCAGAGGAAGGGATTAGCTCAATTGTCTGCCAGATGGGAGAGAGAATAAATATACTTCTGTAATAAGGAGGTTTTAAGAACACCTGCTGATCCAGTATTGGGAGACAAGTTCCCACAGCACATCTAACATCCAGCTGTTTCCATGGTACTCACGCAGCCAGCTCAGCAGTCACTCAGTCTCCAGCAAGTCATTCTTCTGTACAGTATGTGCAGTTTTGTCCTGACATGATTCTATGGAAGGTAGAAGTATATATATAATCAGCCTATCGTGTGTGCATAACCTGATTTTAAAGAGAGCAGCTGTCTTTGGTTACTGTTGATCAGTGCAGTCACTGATCATGAGACAGACCAGAGAGGCATAATCCTCCATTCCGACATCTGTGACCCTGTCTACACTATGTAAACAACTGAAATTGAACTTTGCAGCAGCTCAAATAGGCTGAATCAGAGTGTGGCCTAGTTTGTATAACTAGAGCTAACCTGCATCTGCAAGGACTCAGTTAATTTATTTCTCTTGTAACAAAGTTGAGCCATAACCAAGTTTAGCAATCATTACAAAACTCACTTTTGTAGTATAGACAAGGTCTAATTACAGCTAGGTGTCCTCATCATAATACTCTCCATGCATCACTGGCTAGCAGCAGCCAACCAGATTGCAAATTTACTCACTTACCTAAAGATACTATTAGATCAAAGATTTGTCATGTCTTGGTTTTGGTTGCTTAGAACCTCCAATTATTCCACTAATAGAACAAGCCCATCCTGTACAACCCACAGTCCTATGATTACTTGTGGCACCTTAGAGACTAACAAATTTATTTGAGCATAAGCTTTCGTGAGCTACAGCTCACTTCATCGGATGCATTCAGATGAAGTGAGCTGTAGCTCAGGAAAGCTTATGCTCAAATAAATTTGTTAGTCTCTAAGGTGCCACAAGTACTCCTTTTCTTTTTGCGAATACAGACTAACACAGCTGCTACTCTGAAACCGGTCCTATGATTGAATTCATTCTTTATTTGCACTGGAGTAGCAGTCACTAGCTAGTATCAAGCAACCTCCATGTTATGGGACATATTATTCCTTTAAGAGTGGAGGGGGTCACAAGACCCTGTTCCCAGGAGCTGGATTGAACAAAGGGTCAGGAAATGGCCTGGTAGCAGAAGAGAGGAAGTGCTGCCAGGGAGTGAGTGGGTGTGACCAAATGCACCCGATAATCACACCCTATACACTATTATAATCTTCGTACAAAGTATCCATTGTGAGGTATCATTTGAAAACAAATAACTCACTGGTCAACAATATCATGGTGGAATCTATATAGAAACATATGTAAAGTTATGAATATAAGATGAAATTATGACTGACGTGAGGCTACCAGACAAGCCTGGGGAGCGTATAAACCTGTTTCTCAAACGCACAGGAAAGGCTGATGCCTCTAGTCAGGTGTCATCAAAATTGATGGGAAAATCACCTGTCAAGTGGCCATAATTTGGCAAAGGGGGGCAGAAACAGACCAATCGACATTTTAGCAAACAGCATGGAACCTCTTTCACCACAAAACTCCAGCCTCACAGTGGGAATTAACTTTATCTAGCAATAATCCTCAGGAAAATGCATTTCAAAGGTGACTGGACTATAAAAGTGATGGGCAAAAAACACCCCAAGGTATTCTCTTCCTACCCACCTCTCTATCTCATTTCATCAAATAAGACAAACAAAAAAACCCCATAAACAGCCATATGACTTTGGGAGGGAGCCTGACCTGGAGTTTAGTCAGCCCTGTTGTTTGGAATATGTGATAAGGATTTTACCTTGAACCAAGTCTAGCTTGTTAAGTTTTAGCACCTGAAAGAGTTTTATCTTTATTTCTTTTTTTTATCTTTATTTCTTTTTTAACTGTTTCTGACTTTGCTTTATAAAACTAATACTCCCTTAAATTCTATTTCTTTGTAGTTAAATAAACTTGTTTTATACTTTAATCAAAACTAATCTGGTGGTGTATTCAAACTGAATTTTTTGGGTAACTCCATTTAAAGTAGCAAACTGTTGGATATTGTTCTGGATGGAGGAAATGGACCTAAAATATCTGAACTGTCCAAGAAAGGACTGGACAGTGCAGAACACCATTTTGGAGGGAAAATTTTGGACTGGGAGTGTGTTGGGGTCACCCTGCAAGTGGTGACCAAGGCTGATAGAAGCCAGAGTGTGCTGGCAGGTTGCAGGGTGGGACCTGCATGTTGTTTGTGAGTGACCCAGGTTGGGAGCTGCAGTAGCAAAGCACGGTGAGGCACCTGAGGTTTCAGGGCAGATGGTGACACAACCCCTCACTGGACTGCACCCTGGAATGTGAAAGTTGGATAGGGAGAAAACCCAAGACATTGTTCCTTTAGGGGTGAAGGATCAAGAGCCCTATAGTGTAGGGTGGGGCAAGGCTCCCCTTTCTTCCAGCCACTCAGGAGGAGCTTCCTGCGGGAGAGTGGTATATAGACTGCATTCTCCCTCAAAAGTTAAAACGTGGATGCAGAAGTTGAAAGGAAAAGCTAAATGACATTAAAACTTTTAGTCATGGAAAATTAGTTATGGATGAAAAGTTGAATGTCCAAATGTGGATTTAGATTTACTTTATAAGCTTAAGGGTAAAAAAGAGACAGTAGCTATTAAAAATGAAGTATACCTGTATATGGATGAAAAGTAGAGTTGATTTTGTCAAATATACACAGATGGGTCCAAAAAACAAATTTGGAATTAGTATATTTAAAAGAATATCCAATTTTGAAGCAGTCATGGCAGCCAAACTAGTAGACATTATGCTACCACTAACTTAGATCTGGGAGATACATCCAGCAGCTGTGGAAATTTTTCAGATTCAATCTCAAGCCTTATGGTGATAAAAAAAGGGTGTCTCAGTGATTTAATGTCAAGTGATTTAATCAATGAAACTATATTTCTAATAACAGAATTAGTACAGATAGATAGATAAAGAATTAGCTTGAATCCCAGCACATACTGAGATAATAGGGAATGAAACGGCAGACAAAGCAGCTAAAAACTTGTAAGAAATGGAAGCTGACATAAAACTACCCTTGAGTAAACTGGAATTCAGAAGTCCCATACAGAAAAATTTAAAAGAGGAATTGCAAAAAATTTGTACTAATGAAAGAATATTTAATTGTCCTTGAGTTGAGTATAATGACATACTGAAGGGCCTGGATAGGAAAAACAAAGAACCAGGGCTAAATATAAACTTTTGTATTATGGACTTTATTTAGGGAACTCTAATGTTTGAGCCATTTGCTACTACAGACTCTGAGGAATGTTTGAATCTTAATAAACCAACTCTGGATGCAGGTGCTGTTAAACACAAGAGACTGGAGTGCTTAAGGGGCCTGCATCTGGTGACATGTGCCTGCAAAGCAACTCCTGGCCACAAGGGGGTGATGAGTAAGCAGCCTCCGTTTTACATACATAAGAAAGCTACACAAACATAGAAAAACTAAGTCTTGCCGCTATACAGCTCCTCATTCCACTATTTAACCTTTTACTCTTCCATATTCCCTTGTTTGGTCCTGTTTCCTGCCAGTGCTAGGGGTAGCTTTTCCCATTTCCTTCACAACCATTCTCCCTAATGAAAAGCTTTATGCAGAGTCAATACAGGTACCTAGCTGTACCTGATGTGTATGTATTACAAGTCTGTAACACTGCTCCTACTAGATGAAAAAAATTCTCACAGGTGCTGAAAGAATTTTACAAGTGTGTGATTTATTAATTATGCTAGGAGCTGTGCAATCACAGAACAAAAAGGGCAGTCCTTGCCACCAAGGGCTTACAATCTATTTATAGATTATAGGGTTTATAAGGTGCACTCCTCCTTCTTCCTCCCCCCCCCCCCCATTTTATTTTGGGTAAACATTTACTTAACAGGAAGAGCTCATTTTTTTGTTACAGAATCTCATTTACCAGCACTGATTTCTGGTGCATGCATTGCACACACTGTTAACTAACTACAGGCCTGACTGTGCTCTTGCTAGTAATAACTTTAAAAAAAGTTAATAGAAATGTCATTGTTTCTAAATAACACATTAGAAATTGATTCTGTGCAGAAGTGTTAATAAATAATTGAGCTATTAAAAAAACAAGGTCCAAGCTAGGACAATAGTTTCTTCAGAGTGTTAGTTCTTTGGGGGTAGAAACAGTCTTTTTGTTCTGTGTTTGTACAGCACCTACCACACTAGAAATTAAAACAACAGAGAAGGGTGAAATATCAAGGAGCATCAGCACTCATAAAGGACAATGTTCCATTGTATCTTTGAGTAACAGCAACACAAGGACAGAACACCAAGTAAACATGTTTTGCCCCCTTTTCTATGAAAAAAAATCACCCTGTGATCCAAA